CCGATGATGGGTGATATGCTGTGTGTTAGCTGGTTGTGGCTGCAGCCGTGGAAAATGGAACTGTTTTAGTAATGCTTAGGGAATGGTGAGGCTGGAAACACCCTGGGCAAAGGGACTTGGTATGGTTTTCCTGGAATTGGATCACAGCATCCTGACTTAAGGGGGGGTAGGCGGCGGGGAACATGAGCCTTCCCCCCTTGTACTTAGGAAAGTGAGTGCTAAGGAAGTTCCTCTGGCCTGATAGATAAGGCAAGATATGACATAATTCTTGGGCAGGAGTTAATAAGTATTTGGATTGTGCAGAGAAGGAGTGGGTTTGTGCCTGGTTCAGCAAAGCACTTAAAATGATGTGCCTGCAAGTGTAACTGGGGTTTCAAGTGTCTTGCTGGCAGTCCCTGGAGGCTGTCTTCCTGGGGGGCGGTTGTAGGGAACCCCTGAAAAGCATTTGGTTGTCCTTTTGTCTTCTGTGCTAAAGCACCGTGGGCTGTTCTGCATGCAGAGCTTTGAGGTGGATGAGACACAGCTAAAACACAGAAAGCTGGAAACAATTTGATGGAAAACCACATGTATTTTTCCTGCTCAGAAAAGAATTTCACCCCTGAAAATTGAAGTTTTGAGTGGCATCCAATACGTCTATCAGGAACTGTGGTAATTCTAGATATCATTAATTTGTTGATAGAAGGGCAATGGAGAGAACTCAAACTGAAACAGTGTGTGGTTTGGGGTTGGGTTTTTTTTTTAATGATCTGGTAGTTGACTCTTTCAAGTCCAAGGATTTGTTTCTACTTAACTGGAAAGAGGGGTGACTTCTCTTCAGACCTCACTGCTTTTGGGCTACGTGGTCCAAGGCAGCTGGACGATGTCTGCAGGGGAAGATGGATCTGTGCCCTGGAGATGCTTTGTAGCTATTAATGCAGGGCTCAAACATGCAGCTGGGAGATCATCCTGCCGCATGTAATGTCTTTGGGAGGTTCACTCAGCATGGATTTTAAAAGGAAGTGTTCTGAAAATTGTATTTGGATGAAGCTATTCCTGTTTTCTCTGCTCCTCCGATGTCTCTTTGTGGTGGGATCAGCACAGCAGGGTAACATGGCAAATGCACTGTCGCATTAATTTTGCAGCTTGCAGCAAAGTAATATCCTGTGCCTGTTTTTAGCTGGACATTGCTAGCTGCTGATGATTTTCTGCTTGTAGGAGAATTCCAAGCTTTAGTCACTTAAATGCACCAGTGCTGTCATCTTACCTCTCTAAGAGAGGGATCGCATACAGCCTCATGCAGCTGGTTTTACCTAGGTTAGAAGTGGCTACGAGGAGCTGTGCATCCTGCTGAAATTACAGAAGGGCTGAAAATACAACTGCTAGTGCTGGAAATCGGCCAGTACACTGACATAAAAGCACGGAAACATGATCTGTATAGCCAGGAGATCACTGGAACTTCACATTTTTTCCAGCTTATCCTAAAACCAGTTTGCTGGAAACAAAGGCTATGCCTCCAAGATGTGAGGATGTTCCCAGTGTCTGCATTGCTTTGCCTCCATGCTTTGGCCCACCCTCTTTGGCCATGTGTGCACAGCTCTCTGACTTTACTTGGGGCAGCTGAAGCTGTTGGTCTGACCTTGGCTGCTATGGAGTTGCTTAATTCCTGAAGTGTCTCTGGGTTGTGGCAGAGTTGCCATATTGCATTAGGGCTGGATATTTCTGCCCATTGTTGTGGTTGCTGAGAATAGAAGTAAACAGTCCTCTCGTAATGCATATTTGGTGCTTCATAATCATTGCCTGTCCATTTGCCTGGCATCTATTTCCTTTTAACTCTGTCCAGATTTAGCAAGATTGGGGGTTGGACTGGAATAGCCAGGAGGAAGCTGGCTGCCGTCAGAGGCCCTGGGAGTTGAAAGTCCTTGGGGTGGTGGGCCTGTAGATATGCAAGGAGGAAGGGATAAAGGCAGTCAGCAGCTAAAGCATGCTGATTTTAATAGGATGCTGTTGTTTGAACTTTTTCTGTCCCTTTCTACTCCCCTCATCCTCCTTATGCTTCACAGCGCGGTGCAGTCCTGTTCTCTGCGTGCAAAGCTGGGAGTGCTGAAGCCAATTAGCAGAGGAAGGTGTAATTACTGCAGAGAAATTCAAATTGGGGTGGCACTTTCAATACTACTTCTGATTTTAAATGTGCAGCGACTGAGGGAAGTTTTGCTCTTCGTTTTGTTCTGCCTTTCTGGGCCACATCCTGGGGACAACTGAAAGCAGGGCTCAGCTGCTATTGGTGAGGAATATTATGACCTGCTTTGAGGCATCAGAGCAGAGGATGCGGTAATTCCTTAGAATTTACGCATCTTCTCTTGAATGTGTATGGATCAGATTCTGCTTCTTGAATGGCACAGTTTAAAAAAAAAAGTGTGATATTGTATAAAAATGACAATATGTACCCTGATTAAATCCATACTACTTTTCTCTGGAGAGAAGCCTGCTGCTTTTACTAGTAGCAAAACTGTCATGCTTTAATCAGCCATCAGTGGGAGTTGAACAATAAAGCAACCAAATTGGTAGGAGCGCTTGCAGGCTATGTAAGCGAAATGATTTTGTACAGCTTCCGTTTGCAGTGCTGTCAGCTGAAGTTTGCAGGAGTTGAAGGTGAGAGAGAAAAGGATGCAGGGATGCAACTTTCCCGTGGCTGTAAGTGCTGTTACATCAGATGCAGGGCAGCTCCTCAGCAGACTTTGCCATTTTCTTCCTCTGTGCAGTTCCACCTGCTGTGTGTGTGGCTCTCTGGGCAGGGTAGTGCAGGCTGTATTTGTCAGCTCCAATGTGTTGATGTTGCAGACCTGTGTTGGAAAACTTTGTTGTTTTTCTAAGTTCTATAGTTTATTTGCCAGCTAGCCCTGGTTGGTAAGAAAACCAGCACTGGATCTGGACTAGAGGAAGGATACATTGCTCAGAACTTTGCTAATGAGATATTAGTAGTCAGTGTGAGGAGGTACAGACTCCACTGATTGAGAAGATTACTCTTAAATTTAGTGGGTATCTTTTTTTTTTCTCTTTTAAAATGAAGTGTAATTGTGTTTTTCTGCTCAGCTCATGTTTCTTTCTGCTGAGCATGGTCTGCAAACAGGTAAGATATCCTGGTGACCTCCAAGCTGCGAGAAATGAGGTCCTGCTGGAGCTTCTCATTAAAAAAAACAGAACTGTTCTGATGATGACTGAGACTCTGTAATAAAAAAGAATAGTTGTTTTTTTCAGTGTAGTGTTTTCTCTTGCATTTCTGTGGTTCATTGAAACATAGGGAAATCAAAAAAATAAGTCCAAACCTAATCACTCCAATGACTCAAAGTGGAATGTTTTAGGAAGGAATTAGGAAAGTAGTGCTGATTATGGGTCCCTTATTTCTTATAGCTCCACTTCAGGTGATAAGAGGGTGAGCTCTGAGTGCTGTCTTGCTTTCAGCACAGGTATCTGTTGTGGTATGGTTAGCATAGAGTGATGGTGTACATTTCTCAATGTAGTAATGAGACAAATGTGACCAGGGTTTAGGAGTTTTTTAAAATGATGTGTAACTTGTGGTGCTGAACTTGAACTGCATGCTGAGAGGTTTTTGTTTCACAGTCCTGGTGCTGACAATAATGTGCAATTAAACAGGGAGAGCTGTACTTTGTAGCAGCGTTGTTTGGTTACTTGCTCTCTTTCAATCTATTCATAGCAAAGAAAAAACCCTATTTTAGTAAAAGTTTCAGCAGGTCTTCTGGCTGTGCTTGATCTGCAAACAACTTGTAAGCACCAGTTGTCGCGAGACTGGTGTTGTCAAATGCAGTCTATTTTAACACAAAGTCTTACTCATGTGTGGCTGTTTTGCTTGTTGAATTTTACATGATAGGAAGGAACTCATCCAAATGCTATCTAACCATTAGTAGTAATGATGTGCAAGCACTTCAAATGAGATCATGTGTATATTGTTGATCTGGTCTTTTTTTGGCAGCTCTTAAAAAAGGAGATAGTGGTGAGAATCATTCAAAGGCTCTGAAAATCCAGGAATTGGACTCCATGATCTCCACAGGTCCTTCAAACCTGGGGTTTTCTATGAAATCCCTGAAATGAGAGCTCTTTGGGATAGGTGCGCTGCTCTGGGCATAGCAGGATTTCTGATGACTGCAGCAGCACTGGATCAGGATTATTTTTGAGCTGATTCTTTAGAAGTCCTTAAGCATAAAAGAATTACATACTGAAATGTAAAGTTACAGAGAAAAAAGGTGCTGTTAGTTTGTGGTAATAACAATGTTGTTGTGTTTCCGTTTTACCATTCTGGAGTGCTGTTTGTGTGCGACTCTTATTCTGCTTTGTGCTGATCTCAAGGAGCCAGCTATAAAACTTTGCCTACTAACTCCATCCTTAGTCAGCCTCCCACTTCTGTCCTCTACTACACATGTAAAACCCTTTTATCTGTTACCAATACATCAAAATAAAAAGCTGTTGTCTTAAAGTAGTCAAATACATTCTAGCAGTCCTGAATTGACTAATAGCAATGACCACAAAATGAATTTTGTTTTCTTCTTGTTCTGTCTTTTTTGAAAAGCACTAACATCAAACCATGTGTGGGAGATGGATTTCTTCTGCTGCTTACGTTACAAAGCAACCTAGATGGTTGGAAAGTTGGGAAGTCTTTTTGAGTTGAGGCCTCTGGAAATTCGGTGATGCTCCATAGCACTGATTTCTATCCAAAGCAGTGTTGCTGTTCATACTTCAGCTTTGCCCATTGTAATGGAAATTAATGGGGCAATGAAGAACTGTCTGTCAGGACAAGCAGTGGGTTTAATAGCTTGTTATCACTGAGATACTGCATGTCTAAGTAAAGCCTGATGCTCAGGAGATGAGGAGATGTGAGGGGGCACCATCATGGTGTTCTTGATTGCTGAGTGCCCTCTGTCTTCTGGTTGTATCTGTAGGCCAGGACAAGGGTCAGGAGCAAGGACAGAACTTTGTCTTACTAAATGGAATTACTCTATTTTCTGCAGGTGGATTTGCCATAGTGTTTCTTGTGAGGACAAACAATGGGATGAAATGTGCCCTGAAGCGGATGTACGTCAATAATGAGTACGACTTGCAAGTATGCAAAAGAGAAATCCAAATCATGGTAAGTCGCCACTTCCTTCTGGGGGCTGTGACTGAGAGCCTCATCACCTTCTGCCTGTGAGCTGTACTGAGTTCACAGAATCACTGAAGTTGGAAAAGACCTTCAAGATCATCCAGTCCAACCATCCACCTATCACCAATAGTACTCACTAAACCACGTCCCTCAACACAAAATCCAAACGTTCCTTAAACACCTCCGGTGTCAGTGACTCCATTGCCTCCCTGGGCAGCCCATTCCAGTGCCTGACCACTCTTTCACAAAAGTAATATTTCCTAACATCCAACCTAAATCTCCCCTGGCGCAGCTTGAAGCCATTCCCTCTAGTTCTAACATAGTTTGTGTCACAAACAACTGTGGGTTTCCTTAGCAAAATGGTCATTCTTCTGGAAGGCCCAAGCTCCTAGAGTTACAGAGTTATGTGAAATATCTTGGGTTGAGTTGTTTGTAACTTAAGTTGTTTTAGTAGTCAAGAAAACATGGCAACTGAAACAGCAGAGAGAATCTCAGGAGAAAGAGAGGGGACAAAAGAAACTCCTCAATCAACCCCAGACCTGATGGGGAAGGGAAGAGCTGAAGAGGTGTGTGTGGGGGGGGTGTTTATCTTCTAGATTTTACTCAGATGCAAGGTGTTACGTGATAGCTATTTTAAGTAGTAGTTTTAAACCTAGCATCTCTGAACAAAGAAATGGAAATTATTTAACTGGATTTGGTGAGTTTTGCTCGGAGCCTAGTAAGTGTGGAAAAGGACACTTAAAGAAACTGCAATGAGGAATGAAAGAGAACACCCTTGTTCTGCAAATTTATGATATGAGGTGTTGGTTTGGGATAGGTGATCATTTCAGAAACTTCCATCCCTAGTGTTTTTTAAACTAGCTTTTAATTGGGTTAATACCTTCAAAGATAACTTCTGGATTTTGTGTGATAGTGCAGTGCAGCTTTTGGGCATGCTTTGTCAGTACCGCAGTTAATGCTATCTGAGTAAAGTGATATAAGATCTAATCTTAAAAGGCTTTGACTGAGTTCACAAAGCTTGCTTCCTTGGATTTTACTTGCTAGTGTTTTCCATTGTCTCTGTCTCTTTGGAGCCTGTCTAACCTGGAAAGCAAGGAAATGTCTTTCTGGTTTTTTTTTGTTTTTTTTTTTTTTGCTGCTGAATCTTCACAGTAAGATTCTGTGCGCTGGTGGAAGATAGAGGGGGGAAAAAAAGGAAGTGCAGCACGTACCATGCATAGCCACTGCAAACCGTCCTCTTGCTTCTCCTCTACGCAAAGAAGGAGCAACTCCAGCAAGCTTAACCTGGGTGATTGGGGGGCATATCCAAACATCTGGACCAACCCTAAGGGAATTAGTTCTGTCAGTTGTTTGTTTCACTGTTGCTTGTCTCAAATCATTCTAGAAGGAAAGCAGGTGGAGACAGGCCTCAGATTTGATCAAGTTGTGTGTAGTGGTTAAGCCAAAGTGACAGGAGCTTGTGCTTTGGCAGGGGAAGAGCTAGGAAAGCTGAGTGTTGTAGAGGATTAAAATGCTGCTCATCCTGTGTGGCTGTATAATGCTTTGAATGTGTTTATTTTGCAGCGAGATCTATCTGGCCACAAGAACATTGTAGGATACATTGATTCCAGTATAAACTCAGTAAGCAGCGGTGATGTGTGGGAAGTGCTGATATTAATGGACTTCTGCCGAGGTGAGTGTGGGTTCAACATGTTGTTCATCTGTAGATTTGGCCCTTTTCAGTGCTTACAGGAAACTTGCTCAGCATTTTCCTTTCATTTCAAAGGGGAAACTATTCCTAGGCATGGCCCTTCCTTGAATACTAAGGAACTGTTGTGAACAAAACAAAGCAGAAACTAAATGTAGAGAAACAGATGATACATGAGGTTATGCTGACTCTGTTGATTCAGCTCTTACTGCCTTTGCTGAGATGGTCCTGGATTGTTTTTGTTGAGGGGAAACCTTGAAGTGTACATATATAGCTGTTTTCCATAGGCTGGTCCATAGTAAGTGCTCTTCTATAGCTGTAAGGCTGTGGAATGAAATTATTCTGCACTGCATGTCATGCAGCAAGCTTTTTCTCTTTCAGCCTGATTTAGGATTATTCTGGAAGAAGCTTGAATTGGACAATGTGAAGCCAAAAAGTATTCCTTTTTTACCTCTGACCTTTTTACTTGTCTGTCTCTAGCCAGATAGGCTCTTCTACTTCTTTCTAGCTGTCCTAAAGCCTTGATCTTTTGTGGCTAGGATGTGATGTTTGGAAAATGACACGCATGCTGTGCTCAAGTGCCACTTGCAGGAAAAGTGTGAGCAGAAAGAATATTTTGGCCAGGTGACTTCAGAAGTCTGTCTGTTCTGGGTGGTTTAATACTGAATATCACAACGAATATTTCAAGGAAGGGATCTGACAGTGCCTGTAAGTTCATACTCAGCTCTATGTTACAGGTCACGCTTCAAATAAAAGTATAAATGCTGGCAATTCAGAATCCTCTCTTGCTAGCTTCCCCTCTGTGCTGGATGTTGGGCTTATGAAGTATGCTCTGTCTTTCTAAAGTGTCTCCTATATGAGAGAAGGGCTGCAAAGTGGTATTTCTCTTATGCTTGCAAATACCGTTCTTGACACGTGGTTCTCTTGGTCTTCAACGCTGAAGTACAGGAATTGCTATTATGCATTGGATTTCCCTTTGTTACTCTTCATTTGTGACAAACAGCTGCTTAAACTGAATTAATGCATCTTTATGTGCTGAACTGCACCCACTGAATGCAAAATACAGCTGTACTACTTACTAAGCTCAGCTTTTCTTCAGAGCTTTAGTGCTATGGATATGAATTTTGATGCAGCTTTACCAAAGGTTCAATTTTTTTTTCCTCTGTGTACCTCATATGTTTTTAGGGGGAAGAAGTTGTGTGGATTTTCTGCAAAGGCCTTTAAGCAAAGAGATGAGGCAAAGTTAGGACTCATTCAAAGCATGAAAACTGCTGAAAGTTCCCCTTGTACAGATAGGTTTTGCCAGTCTGTGATTTTGGCCAAGCCATTTAAAGTGTGGCTTTTTTTGAGTCTGTCTCTATTTCCTTGCTTCCACGTGGCAGACTGTTTTGTGGTCTGTGGGTGCCTCAAATTTAGCCTTCTTTTCCTCTACTCTAACAAACATTTTATTTTGAGGAGAAGAGGAAAAATGTGGCTTAGAATTGCATCTGAGTGTTAACATGGTGAGGTGGAGGAGAAGCAAACTTGTGCTATTGAAGCATTGTCCAAGGGTCAGATGGAGCACCTCCTGGCAGATACAAAAAAAAATTTAGGCAAGGAGAGGAGGAAACAAGATGACTAAGCTGATTGCAAAGAACCTCTGGGGAGGCTTGGAGCGAACTTTGAATTTGATCTCATGAACTTCTAGTGTGCTGATATCCAGCCACACTGTGGGGAGTTGTCTAAGGCAAAGTATATCTGGAAGGAATGGGGCTTGGACTGGGCCTGGTGTAACTTGGCACTCTTGCTCTCATTCTTGTTGTTATTTTTCCTCAGGAGGACAGGTGGTGAACCTCATGAACCAACGACTTCAGACAGGGTTCACAGAGAATGAAGTCCTGCAGATCTTCTGTGACACCTGTGAAGCTGTAGCAAGGCTGCATCAGTGTAAAACACCGATAATCCACAGGGATCTGAAGGTGAGTTGTGGACTCTAGTAAAGCAGGAGGGGTTGTGTGTGATCCTGAATGTATGTGTTGTCTGCCTACGCTGTGGCAGACGGGCTCTGAAGGCTGGTACCATGTTTTTGTTGTTAGTAATAAGAGAAAGTGGGTGTAAATACCTTTCTATTAAAAGATTAAAAAAAAAAAAGCCTTCCATAGCTGCTTACCATATGTTTACCGTCTATAGATCTGCTTTAAAAACATAAATGTTTCAAAAATTCTGTTTTTCACCAGAGACATACCAGAATGTATTTGATGAATTATTCACAGTGACTTTCTGCCTACCACCTGAAACATTGTTGATAGTATAGTTGTTCCAAGAAAGTGTGCGGTATGTTTCCTGGACCCATATGAAAAGGATCGCTCCAGAGACATTGGCTTTGTGGTGGGAGTTGTTAGAAGCTTTTGAAATTGGCCTCTAACTATTGACCATGAAACTATGTGGATTGCGAGGCTTTCTGTGCTTAGATGGAAACAGAGCAAGGCCAGCAGGGCAAGCTTCTGAAAAATCCTATGCCTGTAATCAAACAAACTCAAAAAAGAGATTTCCTTTTTCTCTCAACTGGCTCATAAAATGCCTGGAAAAAATTTTAGTCCAGAAGGACTTGTGTGGCTTATGTGTATGTTTGAAACTGAGATGTGCTTTGTGCATCAGGCTCTGTTCTCTGAGCCCTTAGCAGCTGTTTGTTTTGTGCTGCTGGCATTTGTTTTCTAGGAGTATGAAAACCAGGTAGCACAGGGGATGAAAATATGTAGGGTCTGGTGTTCCTTTGTATGTTTCAAGTGATTGTGACCCCACTGCACAATCAGTTATCAGACTGGTGTTTAGTTTACTGAGTGGAAGGAGGGAATAAATTTATCTAGTCTGATAATGACGACTTACACAAGTACTCTATACCTGGTGACCACAACTGGTGACAGTTATGTTGTTTATTTTTGTTGGTGCTGATGAAGCCTGCTTGATGAATGTGCTTATTTAAATAAAACTTCCAGGTTGCTTCAGTGAGAAGTCGTATCCAACTACTCAGCCAGATAAAGTGGAAGGGATGCTTCTGGAAACATTTAGAGGGTGTTCGGAGGGGGTAGGGAGTAACACTATCAGTGCTGGTCTCTTAAAGAGCAGCTCTGTGTGCAGTGCTTATTCAAAGCAGATGAATGGCAGAGGTGAGGAAGAGGGGTTGTTTCACCCCCGGTTTCATGCCAGCATTTCCCTCTCAGCTGCTTTAATTTGGTGGGATTTTTCAATGCTTAAAATGCTGACTTCTTCACTTTCTTTGCTTTTTGTAAACGTTATCCTTGATAGGGAGGTCTATTTCCAAAATATTTTTGTCATTGACTACTTCTGGGCTGCGTCTTGTTTTTTTTTGTTTGCTTGTTTTTGAAGTCTACAAGCAGCGTGTGTTCTTATGGTTGGACTGAACACTTTGAAGGCAAATAAATGAAAAAATGTCTGTATTCCCTTGAGAGAACATAGTAGATTTTTGCTAATGCGTGATTTTAAGTTTGAATATTTAGGAGAGAGCTGATCTTTTAGCTACCACAGCTGCCTGTTTTGGTGTACAGTTGTCTGATTCAAGCTAACAAATAGTACTTGAAAGCAGGGGATCATCCCAAATTCAGATTACAGAGTATGGCTGAGGGAGCTTGAGTACTGAAGACACTGAAATGTGAAATTTTTGTCCTGAAGTACACAGGCTTAATAGAGGCAGAGTGACATGCTTGCAAAAAAAGGAAGGAAAGGGAAAGGACATCAGGCAGAATGGAAGGCAGTTTTACAGCTGTGTTTCTATGATCTGACTTCCGTTTTAGGAGGTGTGACAGTTTTGGTGCTTATTTTCTTTTGTTGTCACATTACACACTTGTCTGACGTGTCTGATATGTCTTCAGGCATTAAAACCCTGAATCACCTAAAGAAAACAAGTTCTTTTAATGTTTCTGTCTAATTGAATGGTTCCTTTTTTTGGCTGCAACATTCATAGGTTGAAAATATCCTGCTACATGATCGTGGCCACTATGTCCTCTGTGACTTTGGAAGTGCTACCAACAAATTCCAGAACCCTCAAACAGAAGGGGTGAACGCGGTGGAAGAGGAGATCAAGAAGTGAGTGTGTTTTTTCCTTTTGCCTCAGACACAGTTTGTGTTTGAAGGGTGACTTTCTTTGTACTGTGACTAGATTTTACTGGTGCCTGCATCAGCAGGTTGATGTTGCTACATAGAAGTACCTGCTAGAGGTAGATAAAGCCTGGGGGAAGGTGAAACAATCAAAAACTGAGCTTGATGTAATTTCTTTGGACCTGAAAGACTGAGTGTGTAGAGCGGTTGCCTGCCTTGATGAGGCAGTGGCATGCTTTGTTTATTATGGAATCAGTCTCTCTCTTGGCTTGTTTGAACCGCAAATACAGCAAACGATAAAATCCCTTTCTTTTCATGAGCCTCTCATCTTCAATCCTTGCAGTAAGTAAGGAAATACATGGCTCATCTCCCCATGAAAATGGAAGGACTTCAGGTTGTTTCATTTGGTTCCTTTTGCCCGTGTGTGACCAGCTCTAGCAGTATCAGTGCTGGATGCCTTGATATGCTTTTAGAAAAGGAAATCAACTCACAGCCCAGTAGGGCCTGGATCAGAGATGGAGCAGTTGCCAGGTCCTGCTCTTGCTTTAGTTTTCACTTCAACGCTACGCAAACATTCCTGTTCCATTAATACAATATTTTGGCTGGAAACAGTGTGTTAGAAATGTGTACAAATGTTTCCCTTCTGTGAGGATTCTGTTATACCTGCATGGACTTCCTGGACTTGCTTCACTGAAGTTCTCTGAGCTCTCCCAGTCTTTCTTTGCAGTCCCTTTGGAATGCTTTAGCAACCTTTTCCTGTGATCAAGCCAAATAGCATGGAATGTGATACAGCAAAAATTATAAATGCACTGGTAGAAAACCTTAATCTCAAACTGTCGTTCAATTTCCATCTATTTCATTTACTTAATAAAATGAGGCATATTCTAGTTTGAGTTGAAGCCGCAAAATAATCTTTCCTTTGTCTACAATGACTCTGAGCAGGAATCCCAGCATGGAAGCCTGCTTATTAGGAGCCTTGTATCTGGTTACAATCTTCGTAGGTTGTCCAAAAGCCCAGCGGTAAGGACATTGCAGAGGACACTTGACTTCTGACCTTGTTAATATTCTGAGTTCTTGAATGTTTGTGTTTTAGCTCTTAAAAATACTGTCCTTTGTGAGTAAACTCTTTGTTGTAGAAGCAATCTTTGCTTTTGCTTTGTTTTCCCAGTATTCTCATGTATTTCTCAGTATTCTCATGTTAGAATCATGCAGCAGATTCTGTTGTTGATAATCTGTTGAGAAATATCTAATTTTTCTTTAGTGTTTGCCCAAAAACAAATAGGGAAAGTATGAATTTTGAATGTGGCATACTGAAAGCTCATGTGATATCCACATTAAACTCACCAATAGATCTTTTTGCTGCAGGTACACTACGTTATCTTACAGAGCACCAGAAATGGTCAACCTGTATAGTGGCAAACTTATCACTACAAAAGCAGACATATGGGTATGTATAAAGCCCACTTAACATCACACAACCAGACTGCAGTTTGCTTTCATTGTCCTAATCATAAGATAACTTTCTGCCTGGGGCTAGCCTCGTTTCCATAAGACTGGATAGTCTCTGAGTAGAGAGTTGCTCTGCTTCAATTTTGAGTTACTGCTAAACAGGCTGGCTTCTGGGTAAGACATGATTGGTGCTTTGCATACTGCTTTTCGTGTGCTTTTAATATAGAGATGTATGAAATTTCAGAATTGAACAGTGCAAACATGATTTTGTATCATAAAACAGCTAAAACAGAAAATTCAAGATGTTGTAACTTGTGCTTTTGTTGAGCAAGTGTGTGAAACCAATGTTACTAGGCAGAAGAAGATGGAAAATGGAGAAAATAAGCTTTCCCCTAGGGAATAATAGTATGGTTCTGGGCAGTGTAGTGCAGCTCAGTTGTCAAACCTGGCCAAGGATCAAACTTCTGTGCTGCTGTTTCTAATGAGGAATGAATCTTGCTATGTTTTCTATGTTGAGAGAAAAACACAGCTGTAGTGTAATCCATTACTAGATAACCTAACAACAAAAGGATGGTAGGCTTCCTCTTAATGGGGACGAAGAGCCTTTGTTCATTGTGGAGAAGTGGCAATTCAGCAGATAGGATGTTTTTGTATGGTTTTTGAAGCCCTGAGCTTGGAAGCAACAAGGAGGCAGCAGTGTAAGGAGAGTGTTTATGGATCCTCTATAGTTATGTTTGCATATACAAGAGGGAAAATTGCTGGCGTGGCATCAGCTGGAAAGAGTCCTCTGTATTATCTGTGAGCTCAGCCAAGGGTCAGGAACACAACAGTTCGTATGTGGCTCTTGCAGTGCTGAGTTCAGCAGGAGGTTTGTAGACAGACCCAAGTGTTGAGTCACTTGCCTTGCTGAGCTCCAGAGAGGGGATGGCATAGCTGTAACAGCGTGAAAAGACTGTCAGGGCCTCAGAGGCAGCTAGAGGAGAACCTGGGTTTGTGCCCTTTGTGATTATGTAGAGAGGTGGAGACAGAGGCTCAAGCTACTCTCTTCTTGGTCTTGAAGGAATTCTGTTCTGCTCATCTGCTGTGTTCCCAAACAAGTATGCGGTGTTGTGCAGAGCGCAGCCTCAGCTTAGGGCCTCTTGCAGAGGTGGTCCTGCTTAGCATCTTCCCCCATTCATCCTGGGATGGCAGCAGTGTTTCATAATTAGCCTTTTGTGTAAAACTTGTATATTATTTTGAAAGAGGTGGTTTTCCTTGCTGTCAAACACAGCACAGAAATAGATGAGCCAATGATATAACATAGCAACCTGCTGACAAATCCTGTATATAATCATAAACAAGTAATGTAATGGTTGGAAGGTTATGTGAACTGCTACAGTTTAAGCTTGGTAACCAGTATGTTTTAAGGTATTTTTGGCCAGAATAAATGTATTAAGGATGGTGGATGTCATTTGATTTCCCTATTAATTTTGCTTTGTATGTGGAGAACAGGTTTTGTGCACCTATATGCAGTAGCATATACTGATTAAGGTCTGTGTCACTTTGGGGATCTTCTTGCGTCTTTCCTTCAGTGAGTTAACTCACCTGCTCTGTTCTTTGTCTTCAGGCCCTCGGCTGTTTGCTGTACAAGCTGTGTTACTTCACTTTGCCATTTGGGGAGAGTCAGGTGGCAATCTGTGATGGCAACTTCACCATTCCAGATAATTCTCGGCATTCACAGGACATGCACTGCCTCATCCGTGAGTGTCTCTGACAGTGCCCTAATCAACTTCCACAGAACTTTTTCTTAAGATGTATTTATATTCTATGCTCCTACAGAATAGTTGGTGTTTCTTGTTGTAAGAGGCTTGCTTTGCACATAAGGGATGGATGAAATGATTTTCTTGTAGCTTGGGACATCACTCTTCAACACACACTTACAGCAGGGATTTCTGCTTGACTGAGCTCGGTGGAAAGGCAGGAAAAGAGACAACCTCTTGGTTTGAGTCCTTTGTGAACTTGCACAGTAAGCCTATTTATGCAAAATGTATTTCTCCAGTACCAAATCTGTTTGGATAAGGAACTGAAAAGAACCACAGTGACTTAGACCAGTGATAAGAATTTGTTTTTTGTGAATTGAGAAACAGAACTGAAATGATTTATAAATAACCTACTGCCTGGAGTGAATGTGTAATTAAGGGTACAATGCGTTACTCTTGGCAGAGCCGGGGAAGCTCTCTCATCAGTACAGTGTATTTTTTAACTTTTTTTCTAGCCATAACCTTGAGTGACAGAGTTATTTTCAAAGCAGACTGGTATGTTCTTTGCTTATGCAAAGGCAGTGGTCTGTGTGTCTTCCTGCCCTACACACTCGCTAGGGCTTTGTCAACCTCTTTTCCTGTGAGCTCACTTGGAAATGAAGAAGTTAAACCCTACACCATTCCCTGACCAAGTAATCTGTTTCCCCCCTCCTTGCTTTAGAGCCTGCAATAGCAGCTGGGAGTTACTCATAGGAGTGTTTAAAAATATATATTTTTAAAGTATTTCCTGTTCCATCCTTGTATGAAACTGTTCTATTTTTCTGATGTATCTTTATCTTTTAAAGGGTATATGCTTGAGCCAGACCCTGATAAGAGACCTGATATTTATCAAGTCTCCTACTTTGCATTCAAACTGGCAAAGAAGGAATGCCCAGTCCAGAATGTTCAGGTGAGTAGTGAAGCAATGGACTGATGTAGGGCTTTGTGTGAGGAGTTAGGGTGGCAGCTGCTAAATATTGAGGATGCTGCTGTGCTATATTGATTGCTTTCACAAGTCTCTAATCAGGAGGTTCTGTTTCATTTCTTGTAATTAGCAGTGCAGTTTTTTTTTCTTTAAGGGAGTGTGGAAATCAGGGTTTTGTTTCATACATTGCTTATTTCTGTTTCTGACTTATATCTTTGCCCAGTTACCAGCATGAGGCCAACCAAGAGACCTTTTGCATGTGAACATGAAAAATTAGGCCATGCTTGTGAAACCCATTTGATTTTCAGGCAAACTCATCATAGCGTGTATAATTTGCACTGCAGTTAGTTTTAAAGGCAGTGGTTTTGTCTGCTGTCTGGCTGAGAGCAGCCAACATGCGTTTGAAATGTACCAGACCTTACACAACCACCTGCTCCTTCTTACTGTCCTTACAGAATACACCTGAAAAATAAAGGTTTTTTTACTGTATTATGGATATCTGTGACATGATATCTTGTTCTGTTGTTTCCAGATTTAAAAAAAGCTTAATTTTCTTCCATGTTTTGGTACTTATTTATGATCTTTATGTTCAAGACATTAGTCATGCTTGTATTTTTTTTAATCAGTGTTAATAACTTGCTACTGTTGTTCAGTATTTGAAAAGAATCTGGGAACATGTGCTATAAAGCTTTGTGTTCAGATTGCACATGTGAAAAATGTGAAAATGGTCAGAAAGCTGAACCATATCTTTCTCCTTGTGAAAACTCACCCAAGCTCCTCTCATGCCATTAATGAGGAGGGGTTTGTCCTTTGCCCAGAGTGAGGAATAATTGCTTTGGGGAATTCTGCAACCTCCAAATTTCATCGGTGTGCTTTTGCAAATAATTTCTGTCTGTTTTCTGCCCACAAAGTACTAAACTCGGTGTTTTTGGGATCTGCAGAACTCTCCAATCCCTGCTAAACTCCCAGACCCAGTCAAAGCAAGTGAAGCTGCGGCGAAGAAGAGTCAACCAAAGGCCAGGTAACTCACCTTCATTACAGTTAGCACTCTCTTTTACTGTGTGTTCTCTCTGTGTTCTGTTAGAAAAGATGCTTGGCATATTTAGCTTCTTTGTGGGCTTGTATTTATACATCGAGACAAACACTGCAGTCCTGAGGCTTTGCTTCAATGACATAAATATCCATTGATCTGAAAGACAGAAGATGCAGATGCTGGAAATTTTTGTGTGAGAGGAGGGAGGGATTTGGGCAACACTCAGCATGACTCAACAGCTAAGCTTTGTCCTGAAGACGTTGCTTGACAGTGACGCTTGAGGTTCTTGCACTTAAATGAATCTACTGTGTCATTCATCCTAAGGCAGTACCCAGAGTAGCTAAGATAGCAGAGAGACTGCAGTGGGCCTGGAATTGGCCCAGTGAGCACGAGGCGACTGGAAAAATTGCATCAGGAACTATTGCTGTTCCAATTTGGTTCTCAGCAGGTGATAACCTGACCCAGTAATTACTCTGTGCAATTGCTGCAGTTTCTGCAAGAGCCGTGTAATTTCTTTGAGCGATGCAGTCTCCATCTGAATAGCCTAATGAGTTGGGGAGCTGCTGTACTGTTGTGGTTCTTCTCCTCTCCTGCCACTGCTTGCTACTGTTTATAATACTGTAATAAAGTATGTAAATTCTGTTGGACAAAACTTCTGCTTTATTTTTACTGAAATGTGAACCTTATAGCAGTGGACACTCCGGAAGCAGCAGTTTTCTTCCTATTCTGAAATAGGGCATCTCTACTCCTGCCTCAGTCCCAGGAGTCTGCTTGTTTGTTTTTATAATGGAACACAGCTACGCTCATGTTAGTAGAACAACTTCAGTGTCTCACAAGGAGGTGTATCTGCAGAAGGACAGGATGATATCTGGCTGCTTGGCCCTGTTGCTGTGCCTTGATGGAGGATGAGTAATGCTGAACAAGGATCAGACGATGTCCAATGATCTTATTCTGGGGTAGACGTACTAAAGTTAAGGTATTTTTATAGACCAATTCAGACAACTTTGCCCAAAGGCACCAGCTGCTCTTAAGCTTGCTTATCTTTGGTCTGCTCACCTGTAACTGTAAGTAGCCTTAAGCAGTATGTTTTAGCAAATGTTTGAATTTGACAAGTTCTAGCTGTCCAATAGAAAAAGACACCACAACTGGCCGTCATGAAAATGATAATGTTAGTCTGATTGTTGTGAGTGCATCTACTAAGCTCTGCTGTGCTTGCAGGTTTCTGGAAGAGACTGTCCTGTGTATCTGGAAGCATCTAAATGTTTCACCTTTTTCAGTTTATCACCTCTAAAGCTGACGTATGGAAGAGTGTTTACGCCTATGCTGTGTACTGCTTGTAACAACCCTCAGACTAACACAAACTACTCTTACTGCTTCTGCTGGTGATTCTTGTTTTTAATTGTTATGTTATTTTGTAGGTTGACAGATCCCATTCCTACAACAGAAACTTCCATAGCACCTCGCCAGAGACCTAAAGCAGGACAGACACAACCCAACCCTGGAATTTTACCAATTCAGCCAGCCTTGACACCTAGGAAGAGACCCACAGTCCAAGCAGCAATTCAGCCTCAAGGTGAGACTCCTGGTTGTGCTATGATGCGTTGCTGGACTTCAGTGCATGCTGATCACTTAACAGATCCATTCTACCAATTGCAGGGCCTGCTGCCCTGGGCAGTGGTCAGCCTTCGCTCCCTGCAAGTGTACCCCAGCAAAAAGCAGCACCGCAACCACCTTCAGTGCAGCCACAAGCCAAGCAGGCGCCCGCACTCCAGCAGGCATCACAGGCACAGCCCCAGGTCCCTTCTGCTCAGCCCCAAGCCACACCTCAGCACCAACAGCAGCTTTTTCTGAAGCAGCAGCTACTGCAGCAGCAGCAGCAGCAGGCTGCATATTACCAGCAGCAGCAGGTGATGCAAGCTCAGCAGGTGAGCAAATGTGGTGGTGTTTGTGTACTTCCTGTGCCAGATATAAATGCACATCACTGCATTTAGAGGAAGCTCTCTGTTTTCCTTTTCTAAAGGATAGGTACAATTTTTATGCATTTTCCAATGTGTTTACACTTATCTAGCAATATTATTTTGTAACAGAAGACTATCATTTTTAACTGTCAAAGTGGAAAGCCTTAGGAGGTCTTTGTCATGAATAAACATAAAAAAAAGTGGTGTTGGTTAAGATTTTATAGCTCAAAGTGTTTCAAAGACTTGAAGTCGGTGCTTAACTGATGAGCAGAGGATTATTTTTTTTTCTCTTCTGCTCTTTGTTATGCAAGAAAGCTGGTGTGCCTTTTTCAGCAGTCAGATCTGTTCATGTGGTAGGCTGTCATGATAGAGAGGCCTGTGAAAAGCTTGTATGTTAGCTAGGATTTGTTTATATAAGACATGCTTAACTGAAGTGTTGATAGCAGCACAGATAACTGCAGAAGCATGTTTAACAGTGGAAGAAGCAGGATAATGAAGCTTCTCGTCCTGGGGGAAGGCTTAGAATAAATAAAAATGGAAAAAAGAGTTTGGGGCTGCAGGAAGCCTGCTATAAGCAGATGTAACCCAGAAAGGATCTAACATTGGACCAGAATGCCATTTCATGTAGGTGCTCTCCAAACCATCCCAACCTGTTGCTGCTTTGCTGCTTGCAGCAGCTATGACCAGTCTCATGGCTGGTCCCTGAGCTCTGCTAATCCAGTTCCCAGCTAAGCAGCAGGTGTCTCAACTACTGCTTGTTTCCCAGTTCCCAGTGATGCAGCAGGGTGCACCAGCGCAGCAGCAGCTGATGCAAAACTACTACCAGCAACAGCAGCAGCAGATGATGGCCCAGCAGACAGCAATGCAGCAGAAGACAGCAGCAGCAGTTCAGCAAAAGCAACAGGCTCCAGCAGCACCACAGCCCCAGGCCCAGCAAAGTGCAGCCCAGCCAACACCACAGCAGGAACAAGCAGTAAGAGCCTGCTGGAGTAGATATAAGTAACTGTTTCTCTGTCCCTCCTCTGTCATGTGATAAACTGTCTTAAATATCTGTACTTCGTCAGAAGGAGCACCTTCTGTGCCTAGTGCTGCTTATTTGTAACTGCTTTAATATTGAGGGCTGATGCCGAGGAATGTGCAAGTAGCCTTTTTGGTTGTTTCTGGAATTGGTTAACTTGGGATGTTGAATGCTTTGGAAAGCAACTTTTCAAGGCATCGTGTTTTTAAAAATAAATACCTCATCCACTTTTCTCATCATCTGACTGCATCCAAAATAAATGCTCTTTACTTAATGGAAAATGTGGCTGCTAGCTGGCTACTTTCCTGCTGCAGTCTGCAGTGTTGAAGGCAAGGGAGCTGCGCCAGAGGGCAGGATCTGTGCTGCCAGATTATCTCTGCAGTGCATAAGGCAAAAAGCTGTGCCTTTGCTCTCATTCCTGCACAGTTGCATCCACTCTTTGTTTTTGGGAGTGCAAAGGGATGCCCCAGATTCCAGTTGCATGTTGGAGCAAAAGCATGTGCAGGCACCAGGCAAAAGGAAGCCATCCATTATTTTGCTGTACTGGGCTGCACATGTCCAAAGCAGTGTCTGATAATAAACCTCTTCAGCTATGCAATATCTTAGCCCAAACTAAGGGTCAATTTTTGCTTGCTGGCTTTGTGAGTTACTATTCAGGGCCTAAATAATCTCTTAGGCATGCTTCTTTTAATCAAGATTTTTAATTTGACTAACAAAATTCTGTGAGCAAGTGACTTGAGCAGTGCTGAGGAAGCCTTTCTTGTTCTTTCTTGCTCTTTCTCTGTATCTTAAGGCTCTGTCCTATTCACTCCTTCACTTCCATTTAATTTCCAATACTAAGCTGCTTGCTAGGGTGAGGTTGGAGCTCTTGTGTTGTTGGTTTTGTTGTGCTGAATGACCTGGGGCAAGTCAGCCTGAAATCTGTAGTTTTCACTACATGAATGAAGTCCATAATTATCCTACTCTTCTAAGGCAGAAATGCCTGACACATAGAACTGAAGTGCATCCCTAAAGAGCTTTGCTGTGATTCGCTAGCACAAAAATATTCTTAATGCTATTGAATCATCTGGGCTGAAAATTAGCATCACCCCCCTGCCCCTCCAAGACTTAACAGAATGGATGCATTTGGAGACTTGTCAGCTCCTGTAGTAGTAAGGAGGAGAAAAACAGTGATTGGCTCACTTAAAAGATGAATACTAAGACATCTTCTCTCAAGAACAGGTTCTCTGAGCAGAAGATACTGAGCCAGAACCTGTCAAAACCTTTTCAAGTTGCAGAATTTCAGCTTTATAAACTTAGTGTTCATTTCTGTGGAGACTTTGGCACTGCCTGTGTATTTCTTAGCACCGAATGTACTGTTCTGCAGTGACCTATATAGCAAGACTTAAGGTGGGTGCATCAGCAACGTTCAGGTCAGCTTGCTTCTCAGCCATGCTTAATCTGCCTGAAATTGCCAGATGAAAAGCAAGGCAGCTAACCACTTGTTTTCTTCGCACCACTGTAGTTAAGCACAATGCTGGGAATGTAACTCTTCCCTCATTGCCTTCTTAGGTCTTTCCAAGTCTTTCATCTGTCTTGCCTGGTTAAAAATGTCCTGATGCTGACTGGGGAGCAGAGAGTTCTAGTGCCAGGTGGTGGAGATGACATGGTCAGCTTTCTGCTCTTTGCATTCTGGCTTTCTCTTCTTAAAACCAGCCAGCAGCTGTCACTGAAAGACTTTTTTTCTTGAAAAATCGCATCTGAAATGTTGTAGCATATGACTGAAACACAGTATTGAAGGCTTTTATGGGTTTGTGAGCTTAACACAAGACGGAAGTAATGAAAAAATAACATCAGTTTGAGAAACCTCTTGAAATTTCCAGAGGGTTTGTAGTTGAATATTTGTGGACTTTTTCCTCCAGATTTTAATGTCAAATTATGATCTTGAGGTCGTTGTTTCTGCTTGCTTGGGTAGAAAACTAAGAAAGCTTGCACAAGATTTTTGCAGAAGTCCTCAATTCCTTTAGGAATTTGAAGTTCTATCTATTCGTCACCTTGTCCAGCTCCGTATGTCCAAACAGCAAGATTTCTGTGTCCTGTGATCTGATTTTTATGGTCTACCCTGAATCTTAGCCTCTTTACCCTTCAGCAAGCTTCTGAGTACAGGTAACCTTTGCTAACCACAGACAGGGGAGAAAGTACCTTCTTGTGCAACTGTAGTAATGCAGAAGTGGACCACCAGTTTCTAGCCCCGCACTTCCCTAGATACGTTTATTTCTGTGTTGTTTTTCTCCAGCCTATCTCTGATCCATGACTAGGAGATCAGATCCTCCAAAACACAGCATTTTTTTACACTGTGGCTGTTGTTCACAAAAGGAGAACATGATCATTTTACTCTCTCTCCTAGATGCAGGCACAAATAAGGCAACAGCAAAAACCTCAAACCACACCACCTACCGCAGTTCAGGGGCAGAAGCTGGGTTCTCTCACCCCTCCGTCCTCCCCCAAGACACAGCGTGCAGGACACAGGAGGATTCTGAGTGATGTGACCCACAGTGCTGTTTTTGGGGTTCCAGCCAGCAAATCTACCCAGCTCTTGCAGGCAGCTGCTGCTGAAGCCAGTCTCAACAAGTCCAAGTAGGTGTCTGCTTGCTTGATATCAAAGGATATGGATGGGGTGGAGTGTAGATAAGGCTTCTTAGGGTCTACCTGTGCTCAGCTCTGAGATGGAAATAGACTGGTATAAGTTAGTAATTGCATCCCCAAGACTGTGTAGGGCTTGGCAGAAAGTCACTGAAAAACTTCCCAAGTGCAGAAGTCCTTTTGAGTGTTTCCTCACTCCCAGAAGGCTGAGCAAATGGGGCCTTCAAATGGATTACTAAATCTAGTCAGCTGTCTCACCAGTAGTTCTGGTGCATGCTTCATGCCTACTGTCTAGCAGCAGGTCTTCTGCAGGAGCACTTGCTAATGACGTTTATAGTTTTTGTTCCTGACATGAGGATGCTCAGGCAGATTGCAAGTAGATAAGGCTGGCTGGTCCTAGCATTCTGGGTGTGCAAGTAAAATACCTTGCACTGAGTGTTTGAAGTAAGAATTGTAATTACAATGCAGTAGTGTAAACCAACTCATGGTGTTGGCCAGAGAATTTCATGTGTATTGTTAATGACTGTTGTTTACTTGGGATGGTCACATCCAGATCAGCTTCCACTACGCCCTCGGGTTCCCCAAGGACTTCACAGCAGAATGTCTATAATCCACCTGATGTCTCCACCTGGAATCCGTTTGATGATGATAACTTCTCCAAACTCACAGCTGAGGAGCTGCTGAACAAGGACTTTGCAAAGCTAGGTGATGGTAGGTTCATGGAAGTACTTTAGTACCAGCCTGCTCTTGAAATGAAGTGGCATGGAGTGATGCTTTGTCAGATACTGTTGGAGCATTCCCATATAGTCATGACCTGCTGTGCTATAAGAGCTTAATTCTTCCAGTCTCCCTTCCCGGTCATCTTTGCTAAGCATGATTTTCTCAGGGATAGATACGAACTGCTCTTAATGTGGCCCTGGTCAGTTGACTGTAGAAGCTACACTCAGCTTCATCTGCAAGTTGTGGTTTGCAGGAAAGTCTTTAAGTCACTCACTGAAGTAGTATCCTAGAAGTATAGGTGAGTAAACAACCTTCAGAATGGAAGTTTTTCTCCTAAATCTGTGTCTGGTATTTCAGGGAAAGCTCCAGAAAAGATGGGCAGTTCCACAGAGAACTTGATTCCAGGTTTCCAACCAGCTTCATCTGCAGCCCAGGCAGATGCGTTTGGCTCATCTTCCTTCGTTGCTGGATCAGGTGAGTCCAGATATCTCCTGCAGGGCAGTGTCCTGCATAGTGCTGTGAGAAAGCAGCAGCTCTTTGTCATATCTTCTTTAAAAGGAAGGTAAAACACATTAATTGCAACATCTGGAGCTTTTGGTGAGGAACATGTGAAGCTTTTGGAGCAGTAAGAAACTTAGTCAACCTGTGAAGTTCACAAAGAAGCTGATTGTATGTTGAGGCTTCACACAGCTTCATCGTTAGGACTAAAATGTGCAGTGTGCAATCACAAATTTAGACTTTGACATTGACTACATGTGTTGGAGGATTTCTCTTGCTAGCTGTTGTTAGACCATGTGGAGTAGGACTAATGTATCTTCTACAGAATGAAAGGGAATAACAGACTGGAGTGAGCAGGGAAAATCTTTAAAAGTAGAGCATGGTTTGATGCATGTTTGTAGTTCTTCAGCTTCAGGAGTTCTCAGTGAATGCACTAATGACCTGAAAAATACCGTATTGGCAAACTGCTCACAGCAGCAATGCAAGTTATCCTCTCCTCTGTCACATGCAGCCATGCAGTGGAAAATGCAACTGTTTGATGTTTCCTCACTGAAGCAGACCAGCTGTTGGCATAACAAGACCTGGGAAGAGACTGAAGAATCCTTGAAGGATTCTTTAAGGAGCAGGAACAGACAAATAGAAATAAGGGTACACAGGTTTATGATGAGAGGTTTAGAAGAGCTTCTAACAGAGCTTGGTAGAGTGGACTCTTACCTATAGAGTTGAAATCCACAACACAAGAGTGCATTCCAGCTGTTTGCATGTCCTGTGAACAGTTTATTTCATTAGTCTTTGTTTGATGTTGAGCAGCAGCAGCTCTGGATTCAGCTGTGAAGTACTTTCTGCAAAGCCTGAGAAGCATCTGCATGTTCAGGGCTTTCTGGATCCTGAAGCATGTCCATTTCTTTAAGTAGTTGTCTTTAATGTTTGGAAATTCTCTGAGCACAGGCACTGGGATGGTTGCTTCTTGCCCTTTTCTTTATCTTTCATCTTAAACACGAGCCTACTGCAGTATCTCTTTTAGACAAAGGCCTGCCATGGGGGCTGTCCTGCTGTGTGTCCTTTGTCAAGGCATTTCACTTTCTGTGCTACTGTGTACTGAGATAATAGTACTTCCCTTTTCAGGAATATTCTGAGACCTGTGGGTTAAGCTGTGTTGGAGATCTCTGTAATATTTTTTTGTTGTTGTTGTTCTGTACCAGCATAAACTTGTTCTTACTGTGCATGTGTGTGTTACCAGGCCATAGCTTGGACACTAATGTTGAGCTGTGTTGTAGGACTAAACATTGCTTGATGTTTTCTACTTTTCTCTCTGTTTCATTCTGCCTTTTCTGTTCGTGGCTAACAGCTGAAAAAATGAAAGACATTCTGAGTCTGGACGCTAGCCCTCCTCTTCTGACTGTGCCTGATCCTTTCATCTCTCTCCCATTATCTGACACTCCAGGTAACCAGAACAGGGTTTATGGGGGGGATGGGGAGGTGGACATGACTATTGTCATTAGTTTTGTAATCTTAGCCTTAGAGTTCTATTTCTAGGCACACCTGAAATCCTGGCCCTTTGTCAGTAGTGCCAAACACCACCAAGTTCTGCTGAACTCTGTGGTAGTGCTGATGCATGGCACATTCTGGCAGTAAATATCCACATGGTGGTGTGAGCAGTGCTCAGCACAAGAGCCCCCAAGGGTTAGCAGGCTGTTTCTAATGTCAGTAACATTGGTGTCTTTTAAAGGTTCAGTATTCGAAGCCAAAAATAAATAAATCATTGGGTAATTACCTGTGCTTACTGAAGCTATTTTCAGATTGGTTTCTAACATTGAAAATTGTAGTTTTCATTATTGTTAATAATTATTTTATGTAAGAATTGGTGTTTCTTTGCCTTCCGTAGTCTTGTTGCAATTGCTTGCTTCATGTGAAGCACAAGTTAACATGTAACCTTTCCAGACTTAGCAAAACTTTCTGGCACAGTTGGTAGCTATTTCCATTTACTTTGCAGTACTACTTGAAAGTTTTTCCTGTGTGCATATTTCTGACTGCAGCAGCCAACACTTTTTAGCACAAGATTATGTAAGCACTTAGGGAGCTTGTTTGCACATCAGTGAGATTTGGAATATTACATTGTTCTTAAGGAGTTTCTCTAAGCCCTCTGGTGAATGTGTGCGACAGGTCCCTTTTTGTCAGTTAGCTCCAGAGAGCAAGGGCTTCTTCCAGCACTCACCCTTGTCTTCAGCTCAAGCTCTGAACCACTGGGAGTTTGATGAGAACCAATGTGTTCATAAAGATCTCTTTCCATGGCAAGTTAAGCAATTCAGGAAAAATCTTTTTCCTATAGTTTTGTAGAAGTGCTTTGTTCTGGTTGGTGCTCAAAGAGCATGAGAAGTATGTTACAGCTGAAGAGAAACAAGAGTTACTGACAGTCTTTTTCACCTCTGTGAGCACTCGTCAGGATCTGCCTAGCATTAATTTGAATAGAACCTACAGAAGGTTCAGTGCAGATTCTACACTTACTAAATTTTTTTTTTTTCCCCACAAAGCTGATGGAAATGATGGTTTTCCTAATGTGAAGCCTGTCAGCCCAGGCTGCTATTTGCTTCTCTGCCTGTGTGCTCAACAGCTGGTTGCTTTCTTTTATTGCCAATTGCATCTTGATAGAGCACAGCCGTACAAAGCAGCAGGCACAGCCTTATCTGCAGGAGCTCTGAAGTTATTTGTAGGGCGGAAACCACTGCAAAGAAAACTGCCTTTCACCCCTGCCCTTGGGTGCAGGTAATGGGAGCAGTGCTGTCTGCAGTTCATGGTGCCAGGTTGCTCATCCCGTAGATCTGCCCCAGACTGGTTGCATATCTTTACAGGCAGGTGCTAAACCTTCTTTGCTTGAGTTCTGTGGATCTGCTTCTGAGAGTGCAAAGTGTGGGGCAGGGCAGGCAGGAGGTTTTGTTGGCTCTCTGCACATTGCTGCGAAAATAAATAAAAATCAGATGTCCTCATTTTTAAACATAAAATTTGATGAGGCTGCAAGCGCCTGAATGTTCTCAAGAACCACAGCTATGGATTTATCCTTAGCTTTCAAAATTAAGGTGTTGTCTGAGCTTTGTGGATTTAGCAGGAGGAATTAAAAATAAATAGAAGTCCTGGCTTTAGACTTCAGTTTTCAATCTGTGACCTTTATTATACTGTGGCTCTATGCCTTGTGCAGAATAGCCCCATAGCAAAGAGAGAGAGGACTGGGATGTGAGGGAGAGGTGTAATGTGTATGTGGAAGGCTTTCCTTTAGGTGTGCCCCTTGGATCATAAAGCTGGAGCTGACCTGTGTCTGAGTCAACATCTCCAACTGCACGTTACTAAGCTGCCTTCATTTTGTGAGGAAGCAGCTGAATTATGTTTAAATGCTTGCTAAATATTTGTTTCGGAGAAGAAAAGCTGCTTTGAGAACGTTTTGTGTTTATTTCCTTAAAGCAGAAGTAAAAGCGTGAGCCTGTCCCCCTTGGTTACCAGAGCAGTATTATTCAGCAAGGCTTTTAGCACAAGCATAAGTGAGGTTTTGATGTGGTATTTTTTCTGTTTGCCTTACAGAGCCTCATAGGTGCTCTTAGCCTATGCCAGCTGAGGTCTGGCTGAGAGCTCAGCTCCTCTTTGTTGCTCAAATGACAAGCATGGTCCTTTTGCACCTGAGCATGCAGGTGGTATTGCTTGGATGTTGGCTGGTGCTTCCTCACCTTTCATCAGGATGCAAACTCTGTATCACAGATTCCTGAGAAATAAACCAGTGATGCTTAAATAGCCATAGTATCCATCCCCAGACAGCCTAAATTCATTTAAATCCCAGCACTGTCAGCACTGGGCAGTAATCAAATGAAAGTAGAGGGATCATCAGTATATTCCTCCTTTTTCATTGTGTAATGGCTGCAATTCCTAATGAAACTGTAACCAATAGGAGGAGCTGGTGAGAGGGGTGTAAGAATATGGAAAAACATCTGTTAAAGTAAGGGAAAAATACTCATGCTGAAAACATTTTCCCGCATGCACGTGTAGGGAAGTGAACCAAGTTCTTAAGCTTATTGCAGAATTTGCTTGGTGATCAGTCACTAAGGAGTATTTGATCAGAATGGTAATTTTTCTGCTACGTGAGTCTACGTAACACCCATCAGTGTGTGTTTAGCTGAATGGGCATGAAAGGTAGAGTTTTATGCCAGGTATTCTGGAAGCCTGAAATTGAATAGAGTTGGGAAGTTTCTAGATTGTTCTCTGTATTGCTGAAGCTAGATTGGATAGTCCCAAGTCCAGATTTTTATGCCTTTAATATAGTGATATAGCCAATGAAATGTTCTTGGATGTGCTGCCAAAAATATCCCTTTCCAATGATTTGAGGGGTTTTGGAGGGATTTGAGGGAGTGTCCTGGAATGCGGCCAGAAACTGCAACACAGGAAGTTCTGCACAAATGTGCGCAAGAACTTCTTTATGGTGAGGGTGATGGAGCACTGGAACAGGCTGCCTAGGGAGGTTGTGGAGTCTCCTTCTCTGGAGATATTCAAGACCTGCCTGGACATCTACTTGTGCAACCTGGTGTAGGGAACCTGCTTTGGCAGGGGGATTGGACTTGATGATCCCTGCAGGTCCCTTCCAACCCCTACGATTCTGTGGTTCTGTGTTCCTCTCTAGTCCCAGCTGAGGGTTCCCCGATACCCTCTGTTGCAGCCTTGGCTGATTCTCTTTGCAGAAGCAGAGCTGGGGAGGTGGGTGTGGGTCTTTGGCAGAGCGAGCAAGGAGCAGCTGCTGAGCAGCAACACTGAGGTGAGAACTGAGAAAGGGCCCTGGATGGAGCACAAACCCACCCATGCTGCTGGCTGCACCACTCTGCTTTGTGCATTAAAAGACTGTGGCTTTCTGCAGCCTCATCTACGTAAACACTGTCTGCACAAGAAGTTTTTCCCTCCCACCCCTTTCTCTTTCAAACAGGTCGTTCTTTGCATATTTACACAACCATTTACTCCCTGCAGTAATTCATCTTAATTACAGTGTGGAGACAAATGTGGCTTTCATGTAGTTACCTGAAGAGTCGTTTACGCAAAACAACACTGTCTTGGCTGTAACAGAAAGTGTGATAAGCAAAATTCCCTGCCCAGCACTGCTGAATAAAGATGGAGACGTAGCAGGGTAGGAAAGCACAGTGCGCCTGTGCCATTTGGACATGGGCTGGATATTCTCACTTTGGATGAAAAGACAAATAACATTGCTTATTGAAGAGCTATGGTCACATCAGTGTTCTCTGAGGCTTCTAAATGACACTCAGATAATGGCTTTTGTTTTTATTTCTTTCAAATACCCCTGGGTTTTTGTGTGTTTTACAGGAGGGTGCTTCTCTGGGCTGAGGAAGGTAAACAGATTACAGTTAGCTTCAAAACAACATATTTACATGCATACCCTTGGACAGTTTTCTAACCTTAGCTATCTAAAAAGGTGTGGACCTGGTGCCTGTTCCTAAATATACAATTGGCTTTAGAAGTAGGAGTTTTAAGCAAAACCGGGCATTTTTTTTCTCATAGTCTTGTAACACACAACCCTACAGAAACATGTTCTGCAGACTTTACAAGCAGGATGGTAGTGCAGTGTGTGAGCTGGAGCAAGTGTCAGGCTATTGCAATGTTTGAAGAACTGCATATGCATAAAAAATCATGAAATATTGAGCTCAGACTGCTTGAAACTGACAGTTTCTGCTTCTGGAAGCATGAGTTAGGACTCAAATCATTAGCATCCTTGTCATAACACACAAGTTGGCCTCTTTGATGGAGCCACTGTTAGTGGGGTAGTAGGGCTGTTAGTGTTTTCAACCAACATAACTCCCTCTACCCTAGACTCATAAAGAAGGTAATTGTATCCATCTATTTCAGGTTGCTTGTAGTGATGTTAAGATGCACACACACAGATATTAATAAGAAATTTTGTTCCAAAATGATGCATTAGCTGGGCTTCAGGTGACTGCAGACATGTACAAGCACAGTTTTGGGTACTAACAATTTTACTTTATATCTTGATTTGGGAAGATGCGGAGTGCACACTATTCATCTGATTACCAAAGGGATTAGTGCTGTTTTACTGACAATGCAGTATGGCTTTAAAACCGATGTACCACTGGAACCCCAAGTAAATGAGTGTAAATGTTATTTCTACTAGGGTTTCAGTTTGATCTGAAGGGGTGTTTTTGGACAAATATTTAAAAACTTAATCATAGAATAATTAAGGTTGGAGAAGACCTCAATGAACATCAGGTCCAGTCCCAACCCATCCCATCATGCCCACTTCCCACATTCCTCAAGAAACATCTGTGTTTCTTGAGCACCTCCAGGAGGAGTGACTTCTAGATTCCCTGGGCAAACTTGACTATTCAACAAATATTTTATGTCTCTTTAGGAGAACAAACTATAACAGTGCCTCTTTTTCTCTGGTGTTTGCAGAATTGTGTATACATAAATAGCAAGTGATCTGCTTTAAATACATGTTTGTCTTCTCTTTTTATTTGTACTGTGTAAGAAACAATTCAATTTGGCAGAAATTCTATTAGGAGAATTAGTCCACTGCTTTCCCTTGATTAGCCAAAGGCCTCTGTGGCTGTATAGTGTGCAAGGCTTCCTTTAACACTTGATTAATCACTGCGCACAAATCTTCCTGAGCGACTAATCCATACTTTCCTTAGTAGTTTGCCCTCACACTCACAGCACATTGACTTGGTGGGATTTTTTACACCTTTGTCTTTCCTTTCTCAGTTGACGTCCGAAGAAAAGAACTCTGCTGTGTGCTCTATTGAATTGTCTTTCTTTTTGCTATTCCTCTGCAGTACACGAGTGAGTAATGCCCATACTGTGTGCAATGCCTGGCTGGTGGGCACCTTGGCTTTGAGATGTTGCATCTTGATTGTTTGGTGCTTTACCAGAGTGTGGCAGGCTTTGGCCCTCTGTTGCCATTTTAACTGGCAAATCTCTCAGGAGACTTTGTCCTGCTCTAACTAAAACCTCATTCCCCTTTCTTATCTTTTGATTACTTTTTACATTGCTCTTCTTAATCTTCAAGTGCTTTCTGTGTATACTTTTTTGCTTAACAGGTGTATTGCTGAGAAGAAATGTGGCATGCCAACTTTAGCAGTAGTGATGTTGCAGATGCAAAGTGCAAATTGATTGTAAACATCCAGAAATTAGAACTGGGCATGTTTTGGAAAGGAAGCAATCTGAAGAAAAAGGTCAATGTGTTCTTACAGGATTGTCCAAAGCTGTGTTCCTTATTTTACAGATAAAATCTGATCTCTTGCTTTCTTGCCTCATAATGTAAATTCAGAATTGGGATGCTAAATGGCATTGTATCCTTCTTATATTGATATAAATCAGAGGAAAAGCTTTTGTGTTCATCCCCTAAGGAGGCTATTTGGGGGGAAGATACCTATGAGAGCACCCAGTTGTAGGTTCTACTCTTGCTTTGCTTTTTCTGCAGTGTGTTTTGTTTGTTTCGATTTTAATAGGAAAAAACAGAGGCCCTCTTATAGAAAACCTTGAATTTAACAGCATGGTGATTGGTGCAGAATGTGCTTTGTCATGTTATGCTCCAGCCCCATAAATGCATAAAATTAATTGCAGTGGATCCTGAAACTGCGGCATGGAAGAGATTCATCCTGAGAGTCATGAGAAACTGGTACCTCTTGTTCATACTCCAAAGGAAGATCTTTGAGGAGATGTCAGTTAGGAGAAGATCTAAAGAAGTCCATACCCTAGTCTGTAGCATTCATTCTTTCTTTGAAACATTACGTGCAGTTTTATTGGTGGAGTCTTTTCTGCAGTTGATAGTAGCTCTGTGTTTGCATGACTTGGAGCTGGTGTGTTTGTGTGGGAGACCATTAATCCCCATTTTTCCTTCATGGACAGCTGTATTTCATACTCATCCATATTAGTTCTGGCTTCTCTCCTTCTCAATTGTGACTTCATGTAGAGGTGAATCTGCTTTTTTCTTTGAAATGAAAAATTAAATCTGTGCTAGATAATTCCTATGGTTGCAGAAAACTAAATGCTGTTCCATGTCATGAAAGAGCCTAGCTCTTCTCTTGAGCTTCATGTAGTTAAATAGAATCTGCCTAACATTCACACAGAGAGACAGCCCATTATGCAGAACACACCTTCCTTGAATTCTTGCTGTCATCACTGGGGCTGTGGTGGAGCAGAGGTTTAAGAGTTGTATTTATTTGTCACTGCAAAAGCGCGTAGTGTTTTTGGGCTTAGGGATGTCTGCTATGAATACTGAGAAAACTGTTAGCACGCATGTGCTTTGAAAGAAGCATGTTGTGCTGAACAGACCAGACTTTACTATACGAAAGGTATTCCTATTAGCTAATGTGGAGCTGTGGTTTTTCTAGGCCTTCACTATTTGTTCTTGTTAGACATTATTTTCCCACCACTCAGTGACTTTTTTTATTCTTTGGCTCTAGTACAAGGTGCTAGACAATATGAAACCTGAGGAAATGAACTGCTAAACTCCATTCTCAAAATGGAGAGAACCTGATTTTTATTGTTGGTATCCCCCCTCCCACTCATCCTGATGCCTTTTTGTTTTTGTGAGCTTCTCAGCCTCACTCAAGGGATAAAATTCCTTTTAATCACACACTAAGAGTTGTGGTGACTACCTGCAATGTTGAGGGATTAGAACCAACACCAGAAGAAGCAAGCATGAAACAAGGAACGAAGTAAGATAAGAGCAGCTGAGCCCAGGGGATGGATGGCAGTAGAATAAAAGGTTTATTCTTGTAAACTTTACATGTTGTGAAGATATTGCTTCCTAGTACCTGAGCAAGAGAGAGTTTCACTGTGTTAAGTGGAAAATCTGCAGTATTGGAAAAGGAATAAGCTGTTTAGAAAAGTAAGGGGAAAAGAGGGAGACTTGAAGGAGCAAAACATTTGGAAACGGAATCATGAAAGGAACAATTCCAGGTACTGTGTGTGTGATTTGGAAGATGTGTGTTGATGCCAGTCCTTGAAGAGCTGGGCATTTGCAGACAGGCCTTGTTTTTCCAAAAATTCTGTTTTGGAAAAAAAGAGTTGAGCATGCTACATGTCCTCTTGTCCCCATATTTTTCTCCTGTGCTGGCTTTTTCTAGCATGCTGCAGTCAGCTCCTGAGAGCTATCCCTCTTACCCACCTCTTCTTGTTGCCAAACCCTTGCTCCAGCCTCTGTGCTGATCCATGGGAAATCCCTTATTGTGTAGGTGAGAAGCAATCAGTGATGCCTCTGTGGCTGTTCCTTCTGCCAATCCACCCTTTAAAGAAAAAAAAAAAAAAAAAAAAGTATTCCTGCTAAAGATGGAAGGTTTCAAGTATGTTCAAGGCTGCTGCTCCCACTGGGGTTTGCATTTTATTGACCTTCTTCAGGCCTTTGCTGATTGAACAGCTGCCTCTTGGATCCCCTTTTTGGAGTTTCTTTTTCCTCCTTCATTTGCTTTAATGCATTGATTTGTCAAGTTTTTTACAGGGAGCAGAACTTGTCCTGCTTTGAATAAGTAGTTCTGAAGCCACTAGGCTATTTTATTATTTATGTGGGGTAGTAATAAAGATTGATACCATTACTATGTACATAACTGTGCAACTTAAGCATTTCTTTGGCTTTCTAAGTGTGTTAAGTCTCTTATATAGCAGTATTCCAGAGCCTATTCTTTTGTGCAGTTATAAGCACTTTATTTATTTATTATCTTTGGATAATAAATGGTGCTGGCCTCTGAACTCAGAACATAGACCACGGATGTAAAAATGTTGTAGAGGCCATAGCTGTGATATGCCACAGCTTGTTCTGATGTTAAGTGTTAAATGCATTGGAATGGACAAATCTGGCTATGTGCAGCAAGTTTTATCAGTGCTGTTCTACTGCGGGTGATTACTTCTAATGAATACTAGAAATTTTATCTTCATCTTAGTCTGTTTTAAAAAAAAAAATAAAGTGAAATAATGAAGCTCAATATTGAAAATCTGGTTAGTTTGATTGCAAAAACCACTCATCCTCAGATTAACGATTCAGGTTAACTTTTTACAGAGGCAGTCTAAATTTCCCTGTGCAAAGGATAAATGGAAACTACAGGAGTCATACAGCTGGGATCACACCTGGTTTGAAGCCTGATAGCTCAAATAATGGGCAGCTAGACAGCTGTGTACCCTAGGGGCAGGTTCTGATGTCTGACACTGTAATGTATGTTTTCTGGTATTGCATGAGCCCTGGAGGACATCAAGAATTCTATTCTTTAGCAAATTAATAAAAGCTGTAAACCCAGCTCTAACTTCTGATCATCCATTCTATTTCTTCCCATTATATAAAGATTAAAGCAAAACAGAGCTCCTTAGTATATGAGGGTGAGAGTAGGTTTTGTGTTTTCGGTGGGTCATATAAGCCGTATTATAGTGGCCTCTTTGGGAGAGCGGTGTACAGTGGGTAAGGATGTCCTCAGCTTTCTGGGTTTCTCTGTCCTTAATGGGAAGATGTTCTCTATGCAGCAGTGTTTCTTGCACACAGAATCGTCCAGTTGCTTTTCTGAGGCTGATGTGATGAGCCACTGAATTGAGCACCCGATTAATGTGTTTTTTTTTCTTTTGCTTTTTCTCTGCCTTCCTTCTTCCTTTTCCTGCTTAACCCAGAAAAACTGATTGAGGGACTCAAATCTCCTGAGACTGCGCTTCTGCTCCCTGATATCCTGCCTCTCGCTGACCCTTTTGGTAGCACATCAGATGCTGTGAATGGTAAAAACAAACAAAAGAAACCAATGCAGCGTACCTCCTCCTCCCCTCTGTCTGCCACAGCATGCCTTGTCCTGCATGTTAACTCTGCATGTGTATCCTCCTGGGCTCTGAAAACAGCTGCTGATGTTGTTGAAATGCAATGGTAAAAAGTTACAGAGCTTGGGTAGAGGAGTGGTTGTCACTGGCTGAAGAAGCAGCAGGAACCCTTCAGTTTCTGCAAAGGACTGTGTGTGTGTGTCTATTCCTGGGCACCCAAATTGCTCTGCATCAGCCCTTGGCAAGGGCTGTGTTGCCTTTGCTCTGTGGTATATTGTGAGAGTAAATGTCCTGTACTGGACATACTGCCTGGATGTGGCAGGTTGCAAAGCAAGCTGAAGGTCTGAGTGTTGCAGAGTCGTATTTTGATCAACTTGCCAAATGCGTTACAGAGTAGTAATTGCAGGCTGCAGTTGCTTGCAAGTCAGCTGCTTGTGGTTCTGGGTCCAAGCTAGGGTTCCTTAGCTCTGGTTGAAACGTAGTTTTGAATGGAAAGGTAGGAAACAAGTTGCTTAACTATAAGACTTCCTTTCTTCCTTTAGCAATTCCTGACAGTTGTCTGAATGCTCTTAGAATGTGATCCTACAAATCACAGAGACTCACTGCTACGAAAATGTAAACATTCATGGATTTCTCTTAGGTTGCTCAGCTAAACCATTTCTAGCTCTAGCATTGGGGTGCATCTTTGTTCTTCAATTTCATTTCTTGGCTCATTACCTTGATTTTGGTCCTTGAGGAAGAGAAGTGTTATACCTGGCTGATGTGACTGTACTGACAGTCATCCTCTGTCTCTTCCCCTTTGCTTGAAGGATTATATAAACAAATCTTCCTATCCAGCCTCTGTAACCATCTTCCTTTGTATCCATATGTGTTCTCAGTGTTAAGCACACTGGTGTTTTCAGTAACATGTTGAGTTCCAAAACTTCTCACCTCTCACAATGGATAGCAAACTTTGTTCCACTGAACACTTCAAAATGAAAAAAGATCCCACACTGGCTGTGTACAAGCTTACCTGCGAGCGTGCTAGGGGCTCACCAGTGGCTTTTTAATGTTGCAAGGAGACTCCTTAAAGGTCAGTATTTTCTGTACCTGGAGAAGATTCCTTGCTAAAGCTTATGATTGCTTATCTGACTGCAGGACAGCCACTGTTAACCTCCAGTTTCAGCCTTTGGATAGTTCAGATTGGGCTTTTTGCACGTGTGCATGCACACAAACACACATCTCAAAACAAAATAGAAAAAACTCAAATGCACCAAACATGAGTGTGTGAATCTTCTCTTGTAATCAATCAAGTGAACGTCAGTCTGAGAGCATCTTGTTGCTCCCAGTGTAGCTGACAGGTATTAAAGGATCACTAAAGGATTCAGACATCTGTATTCTTGATTCTTACTTATGTGGGGCCTTGCAAACTAACCTATGGCTTCTTCTCTGCTCTGGTATTTCACATGTTTGGAAAGGAAAACCTGATGTAGCCGTTGAGAGCCTCATACCGGGCCTTGAGGCTCCACTGCCCCAATGCCTCGTGTCCCAGACTGAGTCGGTTGCTTCCAACAGGACAGGTGGGTGAGGCAGGAGGGGCTGTGGGTGCACTGCGGGTGGGCTGTGAAACAGTGCTATAGTGAATCAGAAAGCACTGCCTGTGTGGACTGGAGCATCTCATCTCACTGCTTTTCCCACCAGTGTAAACTGCATTTGCTTGTATGTTTTCTGAGTGGATGCTGCATGGTTCCTTAAGTTTTTAAGTATTACTTCAGCCCACCATCTCGAAGCATTGCTCTGATGGACATGCTTTGAAACCTGGAGTATCACTTGTGTGGGATTTTATTGTCAAATACTCTGCTTCAGAGAACAGTTAGCACCAGAGAATCTGTTACATGTTGCTAAAGGTGTAGGGAATCCCTCTGCCCTGAGCACAGAGCTGTAAGAAATGTTTTCCATTACAAAAAATGCTTTGTGCTGGCTTTGCTTCAGCATGTTGTACACAGATGGGAATAGGAATGTGCCAACATGAGCTTAACGCTGCCTGTGTCTTGTTCCACCTGGCTGCCTTGGGATGCTAACCTGGATTCAGACTCTCTCACTGGGGAAGACTCTCTGCTTGACTGTTCTCTGCTTTCTAACCCTGCTGCTGACCTCTTGGATGAGTTTGTTCCTGTGGCTTTCACGGCTCAACCTCACAAAGGTAAACTGTTCCTTTTGCCTCTAATCCTCACCAGCTCTGGGACTGGGTCTTTACTTGATGTGAAGTGGGAAGCTGATAGCATTTTGTGCAAGCAGCTGCTATGACTCGTGTTTTGGTGGTGTTTGTTTTTTTTTTTGAAGCCATTGCTTTGTTTTCTTCCCAAGCCAGCGAAACTTGTAATGCTCATGGAAGTACTAAGGGGATAGTACAGATTGAAGTGTTGAGCCTGATTGTAAATACGGAGGGGTGGTATTCTTTACAAGACAAAGCAAAACAGTGAGTTTATAAGGCAGGTGGGCTTTTGTGTGCAACCCTTCTTCAGGTTTTTGAGTGCATACACTCTCATTTTGCCATTTGCACATGTGATCTGATGCCTTGATGCTGCAAGTGAGCCTGATAAGGATCTATTTTGATGTCAGAGGTTTCTGAAACCAACTGAACGTGTCTTGTTTGTCAGTGTTTGCCTGTAGCATGTGACCGAGCTCCTTCAGATCTGGAGGCTGTTTGCATTTTCAGAGGTTATCAGGAGGAGGCTCTCCAGTCAGACTGCAGTGTCACAGCGAACATGAGTGAGAGTCTTAAGTGCAACATCCAGCTGAAAAATGTTAGGGTTGTACACTAACACAAAATAGCAGTGTGGAGGAGCAAGAGGTGGTGTGTGGATGACTCTTAAGAGTTGCAGCTTGGCTTTTACAGGGCTGATAATTTGGGCTTATAGGAGAGTTATCAAAATACTGTGCTGTGCTCTGAGTTCTGTTCCCTGTCCTAGCCCTGGGAAGTCATCTTCAATCAGATGACTTTTTTCCAGGCTGCAGAGCATCCAGCTGAAATCTGGACCCTCTCTGTGGTGTAGCTGCAGTAGTGGCACTGGAATAGTTTGAAGAGCTCTCAGCTGGTGTGACGTGCTTCCTGCTCTGTTCTGGCACACTCATGGGTTAAAGCAGTTGTGAACCCTTGAGGACAACAGCAAATGTCAGCAGACTCATAATTCATGCTTGGAGTGAATACTGGGAGCAGGACCAGGACTTCTGTTATATCTTTTGCCTTGAGAAGACAGAGCTAGAGCTTGAATGCTAACCATGGGTGCCCCTTAGCAGTGGGTTAAACTTAGCTCTTTTGATAAGTACCCCTATAGAACAGAAAATGATTCCCCCTCCTCAGAGGAATCACTGTAAAAACTCTGTAATCTATTTTTACGCTTGATGACACTTCAGAATTAGATTGTATTTTTCATAGAGCTTTTGTGTTTAAACAAGTAGTTGCTCTTATTACTCATTGCTGTAATATGCTTCCATGCCACTTTATTTTGAATAAATGTCTTGAAATGTATGTTGAGCAGTTATTACTCCATGTCTGGAATGCAGCAAAACATTGTTGGTGTGACTTGATGAGAAAACACATTAAGTGTCTTCTGCGTGATTTCTCCCAGACTGCTCTGCTGTTCCCTCTGGGATGAGAGGCTCACATTTGCATGGGAAAGAAACTTTATCAGTGGGCTGTAGGGAGGGGAGAGAGGGAAAGGGGGGAGCGAAGCATAAACTCATCCCAAACTACTTCGTGGCTTCTCCTCAAATGCTGCTTTTATAGCTGTGGTTGCTTCCACTAACTTCTCTCTGCTTTTTTTTTTTTGTTTTGTCTTAATTCTCCAGTCCTGGCATTGATGTAAAGCATCCATTTAAATTAGATCAGTTAAGATGAAATGTCTTTGACACTTCACAGCCTAATCTTCTGTAAAATCTGTATTCTTTTCCTGAATCTGATCCTCTAGAGGACAGAATACCTCTATAAATGGCTCCTTGCACCACCCAAAACTTGATAGTGTATTTGTCAACTTTTGGTAGAGAACTTTTGTTCGTGATCTCATAGCAATGTTCATTTTCCTTGGAAACCATTGACTCGTACATGTCTTTGTTATGCTTTCAGAAGTACTTCAGGTAGTAGCTGAGAAGCAGACTTTGGAAGGTATTTTAGATGTCTGAAGAAACTAGTAGTGATATAGTCAAAGTGTGGAAGTCCCTGAAGGTCCATAATTGCTTGGTAAGGCAGATCTGTGGCTGACCTGCTGCAGAGATGGCTGAATGCCTCTTACCAAGGATCTAATTCCTGTTGGGGTGACTTAAAATGAATGGAATTGCGTGACAGAACTGCTCTAGATGCCTTTAAAGTCTCTCTGGGTGTCTAGTTTACATCTTGGACTCCTTGGAAATCTGATTTTTATATTGAATTTGTTTTATCCCTGTGGGTGAAAGTTCAGGAGTCTTGCCTTGGGTAGATGACTGGAATTCCTTCTGTGTCTTTTCCCAGCCCTTGTCTTCTCCCTGTGCATGAGAGCTAGTAACTGGAGAGCCACATCACTCTATCAAACTGTGCTATATCTCATGGCCACAGGATGATGTTCACCACAGCACTGAGCTATGCCAGCTGTTGAGCCTTTGAACTGGCTGAACTTGATTTTGATTCTCATGACTTGCCTTGGCTTTTGGTTCAAGTTTTGGGTTTTTTTCCCCCTCTACTTTCATATTTAATTGGCTCTTTTACTTCTTACCTTGTTTACCAAAGACTTACCAACTTTATTTCACATTTTAAATGAAACTGCTTCTAAACCCTGTCTCTGAAAACATTAAGATACTCTAACACTTTTTGGCAATTCTAACCGGCTTTCTCTGCTATCTTTGCTTCCATACCTTTGTTTCTCCTTCTCGCTGCAGAAGATACTAACCTGATAGCAGGCTTTGATGCTCCTGAGGGCTCTGAAAAAGTGACAGAAGATGAGTTTGACCCAATTCCAGTGTTGATATCCAAAAATTCACAAGGTAAGCCAGGATTTGGGTGTGAAAAAGGAAAAGAAAAAAAGAAACAATGAACATAAATTCTGGGGCAGTGGTGTTGCAGTATGAAATAATGCAGATCACAAACTATAAAGGTATTACCACTGCAGTATTTAGTGAGCTCAGTCTTTCTCTGATTTGTATTGGCCCTGAAGTGTCTCTAGGTTCTTTATTTGTGAAAAAATTCCATGGCCAGAAGGAGATTATAGACTTACAAGCACCTTCAGGTCCCATGAAGTAATTCCTACCAGTCTGCCAGGCAGGGCACACCAGTACCTCTGTGCCTAAAGTACAATGCTGAACTCTTATTCTCTGAGCTTTTTACTTACTGTTCAAGCCAGTGGAAGGAGAAAGCAAACTTGGCATGATGCACAAGAGAGGGAAGTGATAATAATCATTTATACCCCTGAAACTCCTGCTGAAAGTGAGTTTTTCATTTCTGATTGATTTTCAAAGGTGCTTGTGGGAACTGAGGGTAAAAAGTCTGGTAGATGGTACCCATTTCCTTTGAAGAGCTTTGAATGTTCTTAGTCCTTAGGACACAAACTGGAAAGATTGTCCTTCTACAGCATTTCTGTCACCTACGACATATTAATGTGATCTTTGCAGACAGTTGTAGTAAGGTTGAAACCAAGGAACAGTACTCTTTCCTAAGACAAATGATTCTGCTGAGTAGGCTAGTGTTTTGCAGTATGGCCAATCAGATGGATCTTCTCTGTGCAGTCAAGCCGTCAAAAGGCTTTACCAGCTTTTGGTATGCTTGCATAGGCTTGGAAACATATTACAGAGCTCCTTTTGTCTGATTATGTTTTTCAGTTTGGTAGAACTTTTTTTGACTTCCCTAACTGCCATTTTTGTTTACAGCATGAGTGTGCTGTACACCTGCTCTGCATCTAATGCTAGCTTCCAAAGACTGATGCTCATTAGGAAATGTTCTCAGACATTAGAAACTCTGCTCCGGCTGGAAGTAGAGAAGATTTCTACCAAAGTTGGGCCAAGATAGGCTACCTTGAATAAAGAAGAGCATCTTACCTTCCGTGTCAAAGCACCAATTATAGAAAACTCAACTCTCCCTGAAGTGGTTGTTGGAAACTCAAAAGATGCTCTTAAAACAGCAACTAATTTTCAAGATGTATAACTTTGAACAATCCTTTCCATTGAGAGTACTTCTAATTATGTTTTAGATCCTGTAGCAAGGCCAGAATTCTGCAGCTTAGATGTAAACTGGGGGAAAACAAATGGTTTGTATAGATTCCCTTGGCAGAGAAGCTGCTGTGATGTTTTTCCATGCAAGTCTAGCAAACTAGGTTTGGACGGGAGGGAGAGGGTGGAAGAGCAAGCAGAGGGAATGTTGTTGCTATCATGATGCAAGTAATAAGAAGAGCTTGAGCAAGTTTGATGTTTTGCTTTGACTTTTTTTTTCTTGCTTGCTCTTGAACATCTGAAACTGTCGTGTGTGTCCTATTCAATACTGAATTCCTATCTCTCACACTTTCAGGTGGGCATTCTAGAAACAACAGTGGAAGCTCTGAGTCCAGTCTTCCCAACATAGCCAGGTCTTTACTGCTGGTGGATCAGCTCATAGACCTGTAGCAGTGACACAGTAGCAGATGCAGTTTCTGTAACGTACCTAATCTTCCGTTTTCATTTCCAGAGGAGTTACCTTCAGTTGTGGTTCTTTTTGCTGTGTTGTTTTTTTCTTCTTAATTCAAAGAAAAACAAATCTGCCAACAGGAGACAGTCACCCACATTTCTCCCTGTCTTCCCATGTTCCAGGAAAGATTTTGTCTCAGTTCTCCAAGTAGTCCTCTCTAAAGCTGGTATTAAAAAAAAAAAAAAAAAAAAAAACCAAAAAAAAAAAAAAAGAACAAATAAAAAAACCTGCTGTGGTTCCTTTTGCACCTCTCTGCTAGCCTGTGTCTAAAGGGAGCGCCATCATTAGCCACCCTGCTGAGATGTACACATAGCACCATGGAAAGCCTGACTATAACTGATGTAGATAACTGTAGCTTATGTATGATCCCTGTTGTACAACAGACTCCTTTCTCCTTAGAGTAGTGTGTAAAACTGTGTTTCAATCTTTGCATTTGTGTTTCTGGGTTTGTTTGGGTTTTTTTTGTTACTTTTTTTTTCTGATAAATGGGCAGGAGGAAGGGGACAGGTAAAATTGGTAGGGATGCCCCTCTCCTGCAGAGCGCAGGTTAGGAGAGCTGGTGTTTCTCAATTGCCAGTATATGCTTCAGAGGAGGAAAAAGCACTGAATTCTCCTGCAGTAGTCTTGCTTAGTACCTCTGGTGATGGTGCATATGAAGAGTTTTCTGGTCTGCCCCCAGCTCATGGTTTGCTGTTTAACAATCCTGCTTGTGAATGGGCTGTGCTTCTTGGAGTATGGGAGGGAGAAAAAAAGGGGAAAAAGAAATTGGAGGGGAAAAAAAAACCCCACCAGATTGTTAAAGCTGTAAAAATGATTCTAAGTGAAATATAACAAGACTTTGAACCAAATATATGTAAGTATGGCTGTGATTAGCTTTCTGTTGACTTTTTTTTAGGCTGAAGAGGGCATTGTGGCAGCAGCAGGTGTATTTTCTGTGACTATTTCTGTGTTTGACTGGAAAAAAAATCCCCCTCCCAACCTACTGTAAATTGTGTATGAAACAAATTGTCCTATAGTTGTTTGTCTATTTTTACTCCTGGTTTTAGTCAAACATCTGGTATCTGTTCTGAGTTCCCCATTTTCTCTTGTAACTGCATACAGTGCAAACCAGTTAAGTATGGACCCTTTCTCTTTCTGTAGACAAAGGTGACTGTGGACTTTATTCCACTCTTTGTTTTTTGTGGATCAAGCATGTACTTGGTTCAGATGGTTTGAAATAAGTGCTGCTACAACTCGATGGGTTTTACCTTTTCTTTTTCCCTTTACACGCTTAGTTTGTCTACTAGCTGGGTATGCTCAACTTGTTTCCATGGACTTACGGTCATGAAGTCCGGAATTTCTATCTTGTATTTGAAAGCTCTTTCTAAACAGAAGGACTCTTCCTCTGTAGTGGAATTATTAATAGCTTACTGCTAACCTTGTGTACGTGTATGTAGCTGTATTAGTAAAAGTGCAGTTTCCCGTGTGTGAAAGTATGAACGACTGAAATGTGTGACCTCTCGCTAAGAAGGAAAGAAATCCAAGTTTGTGACTGCTCCTTTCCTATCTCCAGTGTCTCCGCTATTTCCCCCTCCTCAACACTTAGTTTAACAAATTCTGTACATAGAACTACCATCAATCGTGTCTGCTCTACATTACTCTTCTTTTAAAACCTACACTTAATAATAAAAGTATTGCTTAAGTGTGTTGTATCATTACATGTGTATAATGCACTTTCCAAGAGAAGCTTTACATGAGAACTATGGAAATGACCTTAGGAAAATTGTGGATAGAACTTTATTATTTTTTTGTTTTATATTCCTAAAGCACAGGCAAGCTGGACTGGAAAACATGAAGATGTTATAGATAGAAAGTTATTGTATAGTCAGATATTGAGAATATATGAAAAGAGAATGGATTTTAAAAAGTAACCATCTACTGTATATTAGAAACAAAGAATTCTGTGAATTAAAGTACTTTTAAAGAATGTTTAAGATTTTAAATCTAATGGCACTTGTTCAAGGGTTCTGGAAAAATTATAAATGCACTGGGTTGTTAATAATGCTATTAAATGAGCAGATGTGAATGTTCATTTTATTGCTTTTTCAAGTAGCTGTTTGTGGAGCTGGGTGGGAAATACAGTACAACAGAAGCATGTGTGTTTAGAGATGTTGGCTAAAGCTGCTTCATCAGAAAAGACTCAACACTTACTTGCTAATTTGATGAAAAATGCAAGAAATGGGAAAGTGGGGGGTGGATATATTGGGTTAATTTAAAGCTCTCCAAAAAGTGATTGTTCTAGAAGCAATAGGTCAGTAATGGTGTGCTGCAGAGGAGTTTGTGTGAAAGCTGCTGCTGTGAAGGAACACATTGAGCTTTCATCCAGTGTCCACATGGAAGAAATTTGGTACTGTATTCCTGACATAGTGTAAAAATGGTTCTTTTAAGGTTGCAGCCTTGTTTGGAGCTGTGGGAAATGTTTCCTCCCTCCTTTAAAGGGTTGTAAGGTGCTGTTATGTAGTATGAACCTGCAGTCTGCAAAGAGCAGTAGAGTGATTCTGTTCTGTACCTTTTATTCATGTCAGGGTGATGGAGGAGCCTTCCTGCCCCACTAAGCTTGAGCTTGTAGTGCCTTTGTGTCCCTTCTGGCGCTGGTTGTTTTGATGGATCCTTCTGGTGCTTCAAATGCAAGTGCAGTACACAAAGCAATTTCCCTTCAGCGCAGGGTTATAGTCATAATGCAAGAATAAACTGTTTTTAGGGTAGTTAAATTTCCTATGGGAATAGGACAGATAGGTCTTAGAGAGCAGCAGATCTTATCTCTGACTCTCTACTGTCAGCTGCAGCTGCCCCCAAACCAGGCTGTTGTGGCTTCCTCAATTCTGCCTGCCTCGTCATCAATGCGCTCCTTGCAGCTTGGTAGAACAGGAGGTGAATGAAGGACGGGCCTGTGCTGCAGGCATTGTGCATCCTGACAGCTTAAGCGTGCTGCAAATTCTGAGAGCTGACTGCAAGAGGCTTGGCATCTGCGCCTTTGTGGCAGGCGCACTGCATCTAAATGTTATTTTTAGAGAAGGACTTTTTCTAAGCACATGAAAATGGCCATATTCCTACATGGAAGGGCTCAGGAGGTTCTGTTTGCACTGTCGTCTTCAGCCTGAACCCTCACAGGGTATTGTCTCAGTGGCTTTCCTATGCCACCTTATTTAAAAAAGAAAAAGTGATACATTAAAAAAAAAAAATCATGTTACGGAAATTGATGCTCTTCAGACCAAAGGCAGTCGAACAAGTTTTGGAGTTACCCGAGCAAATGCACAACGTGGAATGAAATGGTATGCTGCACAAGTACTTTGAGTGTGTGCATGCATGTGCGCGTGTCTGTATAAAGTTAGCTAATTTCTTGTTAGCCGATACAGTTCCTGGTTCAGAACTCTCATACAGCAGTTGGTAGAACCTGGCCTGGATGTTAGGGAGGAGTGAGTGTAACATAAGGGAGTACTCTGTGAGTGAGGCTTACTGGTCTGCTCTGCTCTGCTCCTGTTGGGTCAGAATCATTTCTGTGACTTCTTTGAGGTATGGATGCTGCACTTTAACACTGCACTGCTCTAGTACAATATGCAGAAGGGGGGAAGCTCACTTTTTTTTCCTGCATTTTTCTTGCAGTTAGTGAGTGCAGGTGGTGCCCTCAGTTCCTGCCTTGCTTCACTTTGCACAGTTATTTGCACCATGCAGTGTGTGCCAAAACCAGAGCATGAAATCCCTTATCTATGGAAATGAAGTACACTGGAACTCTCCCCCTGGGATATGCAGCAACTTTGGGTAAAAGTACTTCATTTTGCTGCCTGAATTGTCCATTGATGTGGGAAGGGTGCTACAGAGCTTCAGTGTTTAGTTGTTTGCTATTTCAAGAATGAAGGAATGAGAAATTTGTTAACCTTTTTTAAAGGTCAAGCTAGTGATCTTGCTTAGTAGTAACTGCACAGGTTTTTTAGCTGCCTGCTACCATGTGTTGTTGAGACCTTCCTGACTTCAGCCAGATAGACTCAGTTGTTTGGTTGAGAAGCAGCATTAGGCTCCAGGAATGTCTCTGCCTTCCCCTGGTGTACTGGGCTCAGATCCAAAAGTGATATCATCTCAGTGGCTCCTCTGCCTCCTTGCAGCCCCTTATAAAAGGAAGAGGAAATGTTTTACAGCTCACCCATCAGCTATTTCAGTACCTTGCCGCTTCTGGATGGTGCTTCCCATGGAAGACAGGAATCCTGTGTGTCAGTGCTATAGCTCAGAGTTTAAGTCATGTCTTCAGGTTGCTCTCTGCTTGTGGAATTGTGACCTATTTTCTGGGGCTTTGCAGGCAGTCCGGAAGCTGAAGTTCTGCTGCCCACGCCTTTTGTAGGGCAGGGTGTGCTCAGGTGTGCCAAAGTGGGTTTGTCACTGAGGTTCTCCCTTAGTAATAAAACTGTGCCTGCACATAATTGGGGAATTGCTCCTTTTTTCAGATAATTGCTTTGTATCTAACTGCAGAATAAAAACAAGTGTACTCAAATGTCTGACCGTAGGAGGTCATGGGTGGAGAGAGGAAAGGTCTGAGCCATTGTCTGATCGGATGTGTGCCCAACTGAAGTGAAATGCTGGCACAGTAGCAAAGGAGAAAACTGTTTACAGTTATTCCAGGCTTTTCTCACTTATGATGGGCAGGAAAGCAAGAAAACAATGGAATTTTTTTCCCCTCAAAATAAAGCATTTTGCCTGTCCTACAGTGCCTCCGGATTTGGAGAGGCTGCTGCTGTCCAAAACCAACCTACAGCCTGTCGATCCTTCTCTTACTCTGTCCCAACTGTCATTGCTTGTGTGAATATAGGCACAACCAATGTAAGCAGCTCTTTAAAAGGAGAATCCTATTCAGATGACTTGGTTGCCCAGTTCTTGCGATAATTGGGTCATTGGTTTGCCATATTCTCTATGATAAATGCATTTTTCCTTTTTTGTTTTAGTGAATGCTGTGTTTCATTGAAGGCTGGGTTAATTGAGAGGCATTTGCGTGGTATGGCAATGGGTCTTGCTCTGTTTCTCCCTATAAGCTCAAAATCCCTTGATAATACCTGGTCACGTATAACCTGGAAGAAGAAAACACTAGACATATCAATTCTGTTATCAAACTGAGCTTAGCATCTGAGGTTAAGCCATTGCTGGCAACATGGGCTTCAGGAAAGATTGATAGTATTTTTGTAGAGTAACTTACGAAATGTTCACGTATCTACACTGTCTTTATTTAGCAGTGTAATGTATCCAAGTGAATAGTTTCCCAATAAATAATGATTTTGATGCCTAATGAATGAGTGCTGTGTCTTTAATTGAGAAGTGACTAAGGATGGTTTAACCTTGTCAAAAGATACACAAATCCAAACTGTTAAACAGGGCAGATTGATTAATGTTGTTATGGGGACGTGACAGTGCTATTTTGTCACCACAGGGGTGGTTGGGTAGAGCCTTGTTGGTCAGTGGGCACCAGACCACCTCCCCTGTTCTTCCTGCAATTCGTACTGCTTAGATCTCACGTGCTTTTTCCTATCCTCTTGCTAACATGAGTCCAATGACATACTTCTAACCTGCCAATAGTTCTTTGAAGGTAAGAGATCTTCTGTTCTATCTGTCGTGAGTCTTGAGGCAAAACCAACCCCCTCTTGGGCTCCTGTAGTTGGAGAAGAGCAGTACAGCAAGCGCTGTCCCATTAAACCAGCAAGAAGCCAGCCAGATTGCTATAGTAATGTTAACTACCTCATTTGCAATCATGGTATGGATTGTTTAAAATCATTTGTCTTGCGATGGTTTAAAATAGTGCTGCTATAGTTACCAGAATTCATTAAAAGCTCCAGGCTGACATTTAGCAGATTGGAAGGCATTCCTGCCTGTTCTCTGTGCCCGGGTGCGATTCCACATAGCTGTGGGTTGGCTTGCACCAAGAGGCAGTGCCAAGCTGTACATCTGCTTGTAGGATGCTCCCATGTTGATAAGCAGAATAAAACAAGAAGTGGGGCCTCCCTCCAGGCAGCAGTGTGGTGAAGTCCAGAGCCCTCTGGTTGTGGTTGCAGGTGGCACAGAACTCTTGTGGAGCGGTGCTGAGTGTGCCCATTTGTCTGTCAGACATCTTCCACCTCCTGAATCTCCCTGAGCTGTTAAGTGGTGCTGATCTGTGTCCCTTTGCGTGCAGTAAATACTCTCCCTGGCATTTTGATTTTATTTCATTTACCCTCTCCTTCCCGTTTTTTCCATGTGTGGTGGTGGTTTAAATCTGAATATCATAACATTTCTTGTGTGCAAAGTATCTCTCATCTTTCTTTGTGACTAAGGAAATACAGCTTGCTGAGTGACACTTTTTTTTTTTTTTTTTTTTTTTTTTTTTGCATTTTTAGGTTTGCAGAGGGATCCTGCCCTGTTTTCAGCTGCAGCTCTCAATCTCTGCAAAGGCTCCACTGCCAGCGATGGGCTTGCTTTGTACAAGACTCAGCCAGAGGTGAAAATGCAGCCCAATGCTGAGTCTGACTATGCCACGCGTGACGGCCCTTCAAGCAACAGCTCCTTCTACAGTAGTGAAGGTGAGGGGACAGATCACGAAGGGGACATTTTGGATTGCAGTGGCTCCAGGCCTTTGCTGCTGGATTCGGAAGAGGAGGAGGAAAGCTGCAGGCCGGGTGTGGGCTTCCTGCAGGCCGGGCCCAGGGAGAGGAGGGACATTTCCAGGGAGCAGCATCCCCACACGCAGGCTGTAGAGACGCCGTTCCCTGTCTTCCAGTCGCAGTCTGGGGAGGTTTTTAATGAACCCGATGTCTTTGCCACGGCTCCTTTCCGCAGCTCCAGGAAAGCACCCGATGAGGCAGATGTTTTCACCAAAGCTCCTTTCATCTCTAAGGGCAGTGTGGCTCTTCGACACCCAGAGGAAGTGGATGTGTTCCTTAGAGCCCCTTTCACCAAAAAAAAGAGCATGGAGGAGCTGTTGTCTCACAGTGTGCCCAAGGAACCGCTCATGTTTCTCAGCCCAGCAGCTGATGTCCAGCACAGAACCACCCCTGCCTTCCAAAGCCTGGATGCGGTGGTTTCCGGGCCATCGGCCAGACTGCAGTATCCTTCAGGCTTTGCTTTGCTGACTAACCTTCCTCCTCCTGTGAGAGCAACAGAGGAGCACAGCCCTCCTCCAGGCATGCAGCCGGAGCCTGGTGAGCGCAGCCCAGCCCAACCCAGCCCTCAGGAATGCATGCTGGGACCGGCAGCGAACAGTCGGCCTTTCCGTCCGCAGGCCTTGTCCAAGTACTCCCGTCACTACAGCCCAGAAGATGGGCCTGGTCTCGACGTCCAACCCATCGCTGCTTACAAAGTGGTTTCTCAGACCAACAGGCAGGCCATAGCGGGCTCTGTCTCCCTTGCCCCACTGGCTGCCAGGACTACGGAGCTGCCCGCAGCTGATCCTTTTGCTTCAGCACCATTTCCTTCCAAAGCAGCAAAGCAAAAGCCTTAATGTGCTGTGAGCTGGGGGTGTTCCCAGCAGAGCATCTCCCACAGGACCTCAAACATCTTTGTCCAATTGGTTGACATATATAATTTTTCAGTCAGAACTCTATTTGCAGTGATATAGTTGAACCGTTTTAAGTTATGTTAGCTAGTTAGAATGCCTGGCTCTCAGGATCCTCATATCCTCTTCAGTTACTTCTTTCCTTCCTCCTCTCATTGCCTTCCCCAAGTTATTTTGTCAGCAATATGCCATACCTTCTGGCTCTGACTAGGGAAAGGTACTGTAAGGTTAATTAGCTGGCATGTTAATTACAGAGCGAGTCAAGCGGGACTGGCTGGTGCTATGGCAAGGAGGCTATTTCACAGGTTCAGGGCTTATAGAGATTTTTCCCCATTAGTTGGGGCTTCTGGAGGACACTTCTTGCTGCTGATGGTGACAGTGAGCCTGGCAGCTCCAGGGTATGTGTGTCATGCCTGAAGTATGCCAGTGTCTTCTGTTGCTCATCTTGCAAATGCTCCAGGTTAGGAATTAAAGCAAATGAAAGGAAAGAGATTTGTTGGGCTGTTACATGGAAAATTAAGAGATCAAAAGTGTGGGATTTCCCCAACTGTAGGACCCAGAAATCTGCTTTTGGTGTTGTAAAGGAGAGTATGTAAGTATGTAAGTCCTGTGAAAAAGTGCATTGTGAAGACACCTGGATGGCTTTCCTGGTCTGTGTGTCTCACTTGGTGTAATTTGGCCTTGGCTGCAGTCTGGTTCAGCTGGTAGATGCCAGCAGAGAGCTTGGCTCTGGATTTATTAGTTCAACCTTTTGTCAACTAAGATGATCTCCAACAAGATCTGTTCATGCTCCTCTGGGAATATTTGGTGTACTTTGGATACCTTGTGCTTCCTGCCATGTTCCCAAAGAGAAAGGCAACTTGTTGCTGTTTGTTCTGCCTTTGGTGCAGAATCCTTATGCTGTGTTTGGTGGAAAAATAGTGCTGTCCCTGGCCAGCAAAGGCTGTAAGTGTGGGCTGCTTTCAGATTATCCAGATGCAGGGGCTCACAGTTGCTGTGTGGTGTTCCTGTCTAACAGGCATTGGTGCTGCAGGATGTCTCCCAAGAAAAGTGTTTCATTTTCATTTTCAAGGGCTTGACATCTGGGGAAGAATCTCTGTTGACTCTGGTAGTTTCTACTGAATCGCTTAGAAGCTCTGCAGTGTCTGTTTCCTGAGGGAATTTGATTCTCATCCTGTAAGTCAGAGCTTTGCTCTGAGGATTGAGGGCAGAATTCCCTTTTGCTGCATACCGTTTTGCTGGATTGTTGGCCAGCAGGAAGAGGAGGGTGGAAAAGCCCCAACCAGGTGGAGAGCAAAGCACAAGCAGAACCCCAATCTCAGTTTCCCTCCAAGAGGTTGCAAGAGGTGAGCCAGTGCCACTGCTGGGTGTGTTCAGCCTTGGGATTGCTGGAGGGCAGGGAGAAGTTGGGACTCTTGAGAGCAGGAGGGCTGTCAGGGTGCTGTTTTCCTGTGCTACTTCACCACTGGTAGTAGCAGTAAATACTGTAGGGAGATTTCTGGGTTCCCTGGAGATAGTTTCAACTAAGCTGAGGCTGTTGTTGATGGTGTTTTCTTCTCGTTGGGTTTTCCCATTCAAATATATCCCCAAAAGTGCAAGGCATTGCTAGGTGTGAGTTCAAGGTATTACCTCTGCTAACTGGATTTAGGTTCTCCGCTTTTCTTCAGTTTTTACTTGAAAAGTTGCCTTTTGAATCAATCTGTGAAACTTCCTACAATGCCACATCCAAGTTGCACTTAGGAAAAATAAGATAAAATTAAAGACTAGCATAGCTGGAGATGCATTTGCCCACTGCCCAACTCTTGCCCTTCAGACCTGCACTGCCACAGGATGAAGGGACAAAGTGCATTCAGGTTGAGTTGGGCTGGATTTCCAGCTGGGATTTTGGGAGTGGATATTCTGCAAGCACTTTACACAGAGCCCCACAAGCTAACGAGCCTGCCAGCTTCAATGGTTTTACATGTATTTTTGGGGCTAGGGGCAGCTTGTTTGCATCTCTGCCTGTGACTTATTAAGGAATGGGATTTCTGGTTGTGGTCAGAAAATTGAATTTCAATACAAATTTGTCTGTATAGCATTGTAGTTTCCAATCTCCTAATTCTGCATGGCCAGTATGGCAGCTTCAGCATGATAAATTATAAGCCAAAGTTTCACTTCTATATTATGAAGCTGTTTCTAATGAAGGTGGAATGATAGTGCTTATAGTTTTCTTCACCACCTTGCTGGTGCTGTAAATGAAATGGGCCTGGTATGGCCTAAATGCAGCATTTTGGAATCAGTTTTCTGAACAGAACCACTGTTTCCACCTGTCCATAGCTGTAGCACATCCTGCCCTGTGTCCTCAGAACACACCTCGGTCCTGTGACAATCGTAGACACAATTCTTCCCCATCGCCAACTGAATGTCAACAATGCACTTAGAGACATTAATCACAGTATCTGCATGCGAAAACAAAAAGGAAGAAGCATCATGCTGGGCTCTCCATGCCTCACTGCCACGTCTGCACAACAGCATGGTGCTGCTCCTGAAGCTCACCTGTGGGAATGTTGTGCACAGAGCTCACATTGCATCAGCAGTTGTCCTCAGTGTCACTCAGTCAGGCATGGCTGAGTGAGATCTGTTTAATTGTTGAATTCTCAATCACTCCAAAGTGGAAATCGGTTACTTTAACTCAGCTTCCACCAAAGACTTTTGTGTTGGGGAGTTGAATTTTTTTTTTTTTTCTGTGTTCACAGTGTTAATTTAAGGCCTTTCAGTACACCAAAAGACTCCAAAGCATTCTTACAGCAGGTATTCTGATGGTGAAATCTTGTTCCACTTCTGAAACACATTCCTGAAACCTGATCCAATGTGTCAGTATTCCTAAAAATATGCCACAGCCTGAAGTTTCCATTGGCCATCATGTTGTTTTCGTTGGGGGACTGGTGATGTCCTGGGGTCTCCTGTATCCATCTTAGGGGCTGGAGATGTTCTGGTGTCCCCGGTCCCATCCTGGGACTGCTGATGTGGGGTCCTCAGGTCCTATCCCAGGGATGGTGATGTCCTGGGGTCCTCTGGCCCCATCCTGGGGCTTGGTGGTGGCTGGAGGTCCCTTATCCTCATCCTTGGGGTTCCTCTGGTCCCATCCTGGGGCTGGAGGTGTTCTGGGGTCCCCTGGCCTCATCCTGGGTCCGGTGATGGGTGGAGGATCCCCTGTTCTCATCCTTGGGGTTCCTCTGCTCCCATCCTGGTACTGCTGATATTGCGGGGTCCCCTGTCCCCATCCCAGGGGCTGGAGATGTCCTGGGGTTCCCTATCCTCATCCTTGGGGTTTCCTGCTCCCCTCCTGGCGCTGGTGCTGCCCAGGGTCTCAGATTTGTATGGCTGTGGCTGGAAATGGACGGAGTTGTGTTGCACTCCAGGTGTGATGTCTGTGTTCCTGGTAATCGCTATGAAGAAATGTTCAAGCTGTAAACTTCTGTACATTTATTAAAGCTGTACCTGATTACAGCATGTTGTCCACGTGCTGTCTTTCTCTCCTCTGTGTGCAAAACTGGGGATATAAAAGGTAAAAAGGGAAATATTGAGGGGTGGAAAAGAACACACACACACACACACACACACACACGGGGGGGG